GCTTTAATGAACACTTTTAATCACTCAGATACTTAGGCATCCAAGAGTCGTATGTAACCATTGGAAAACATAATAAATTTAAAATGCCCAAGTTAAACAGAACCGTGCTCAAATGTTTCCTTTTGAGGCGAAGCAGATATCAGTTGTGAAAGTTCCCAGTTTCCATCTATATATCATTCTCGCTCCGGTGGCGTTAAGTTCTAAAATATTCTGGAAAAGGAAATGTTACAACACTTTAGTCTTTGCGTGTCTGTTTAGTATCTTTTACATCGGCTTCGTTTGATAAATGCATATTTGTGCTGTAACTAACGATAGGTTATGAATCAAACGGCCAATATCACAAGAAATTATTCTTAAAGAATTTGTTGATAATGGATTGATCTTTATTGAAAATTAGGCTAGTAAAATAAAAACAGTTTATGGTGAAGATAAATTTTAGGCTGGGACAAGTTATTCTACTAGTCTTCGAATATATTTTTGTATTTTCATATTTTTTATATTTTTAGTATTATTAAAATTGAATATAGAGAGTTAAAATGTTCTAGAGTTAGCTAAATAGTTCATGAAAGAAACTACTTTCGCAATTGATTAGAACTCAAAACAACCATTTAATAGGGACCAAAGTAATGATTTTAGGCACAAACCTGCTATATATTAGGAGTAAACTAAATAATCATTACTTTTAATAGTTACAAACTGCGTAGTTTTTTTTGCAGTGTGAACAGAGGATTTGCTATTCTATACTTCTATACTGTATTGTATTTTTTATTGATCCTCGTTTGTAAATAACTTTTATTTTATGAATAATTTAGAGACGTTCTGTTGGATAATTTTATTACTAGACCTAAGCAAACAATTAAAGTACTTAGCCTATAGCAAGGGGGTTTCCCTATGTTTTGGCATATTCATGAAAACAATTATTATCAATCCCCTCAGTGAAAATTCAACTTTTTACGGAAGAATATAAAACTTTTTAAGTAAAAATTACTGTCCATATTATAAAATTGTAAACAATGTTTTCTACGCCAGTGGCATTTTTAAATGTCAGCGTGAGACATCAACCGGATGTTAGTTTGTAAGATTTATGTTATTTTAAATAATGATATAAAAACTATATATCAAGAACAAGTAGTGTAAAGCAAAATGGTATTGCAAATTTGGAAACAGGCCATTGTTTCGAGAATCAAAACAGGGTAATCTTTATTCAGTACATTAACTTGTGTCATTTTTGCTGGCAACAAAACGGACAACTAAAGTGAGAAAGACTAGCGTTAGGAAAATTGTATTTTATAATAGTGACATGTCCGACCATATTTTTATTCTTCATTATCGTCACAAGCAGTATGACGAGGCCAAATTCAAAGTTTACAGTAATACACAGTCAGCAGGATACAATTTTACAGGTTCAAATCCCAAGTCTTGTCGATACAAGTATTTAAACTTGTATTACAATTTACAATTTATTCATACAAAATAAATCATTGACTCTGTGCTTTACGCTCGGATTCGATTACTATATCATTTGTAATTCTTTTCTTGCACTGACTTTTTAAAATATAAAATGTTGTAATAATTGTATTACAATTTCAATTAGTTATTTAATGTAGATCTCTACGAATCCAGCTCTATTAAAACTAAATGTCTTCATGTTATATCACAAACAGAACAAGTAGAGCATGTGTGTAGAATAAGTAGTAGAACAGTTAATTAATAGCGGTATTCCGACTACAATGTATTGTAGTCATAAACTGTCTGCTATATTTATGTATTCTGTATTGCCAGGATGTGTTGGGTCTGCTTTTCCCTTCCACGTGTTGTAAAATACGCACCGATATGTTTAATGATGCTAATACACCATTGTAGTAAGTACAAGTACAATATACATGGACACTAGTTTTAAATTGTCCATTTAAGTCAAATGAAATACGGTCAATTATGAAATATGAACAATTTTAATAAGCCACCCTGAAAATAAAACCATTTAAACTTAATTTGATTAAATAATTATACTATAGAACGAAAAATATTGTTCATGACACCGCCCAAAAGGGTGGCCGTTAAAAATGAGCTCGTGTCGATAACGGTTACCTAAGCTCCAATTTATGAAGTATGCCTACACTATTACATCAAATAACATAAATTTGCAATACTGCAAAGTCACACCCAAAAGATATTCATTTCATTAAAAAGCATTAACTATTGGTTAAGTTGTTTCAAAATCTCTTATTCACTTCTTTATAGGGGAATGATCTGATTACTTAATTTTTAGTACAAACACACTATCATGGATGCGCAAATTGTTAATGAATAATATCATATATTTGTATGACCATTGATTAAGCCTTATATTTCTGTTGTATGGTTTATTTGTGAAGATTAATTATCACATGTTTTAATATTGTTAAATGAGTAAATAAATAGTGATGGAAATGTTGTACTGAGTCAATTTCAGTACAACATTTCCATCACTATTCTTATTTTGACTTTGATGATTGACAATTTAATACAAATCGAGGTTCAACTTCTATTTATTGGGTTAGTTATGTGCAAAGGCTTTTCGGAAATAAACCTCCTGCATTTTAAATGCATGTGTTCATATAAGTCATAAGGTTTTGTCACTAAAGATTTGGGTACGTTTATGGTAAACTAGCTGGCCCGACAGACGTAGTCCTGTCCTATTGTGGTTTTATGTCACATGCTCGTACATTTTCAAGATGAGCTCGTTCGCATGGCTTAATCACGTCCTGGTTGAAGTTCGTTCGCTACGCTCACTCACCTTTAGGAGTACGTATTGGCTTTGCCCCGTTTAACTTCATAAGTGAGCTCGTTCGCATGGCTCAATCACGTCCTGGTTGAAATTCGCTCACTCACTTTTAGGTTAGAGCTCGTTTGCTGCGCTCACTTGCCTTCAGGTTAGCTCGTTCGCTACGCTAACTCACCTCCAGGTTGAAGTTCGTTCGCTACGTTCACTCACCTTTTCGCATGGCTCAATCACGTCCTGGATAAAGTTCGTTCTCTACGCTCACTCACTTTTAGGTTAGAGCTCGTTCGCTGCGCTCACTTGCCTTCAGGTTAGCTCGTTCGCTACGCTAACTCGCCTCCGGGTTAAAGTTTGTTCGCTACGCTCACTCACCTTTTGGTTGCAAATTAGCTGTTGTCATAAATTAAAAAAATAATAATAGTGCTGCACCCTGTTGGCAATCCTTGTAACTTTAAAGCTATTGAACATCATAGAACAGAACCAACTTGTTTAATTGAAACAGCTGATAAGATTCATTAATTCCTTTTAAATATGAAAAATCATAAGGTTAACATGGGAAACTCCAGAGCCACTGGGGCGGAGCCCGAGAGTCCGATCAGAATAAAAACAACTTAGTTTTCCTATTTAATGCCTAAAGAATCGGTGTACCAAATTTCAGCCTCCCAGGTAAATGGGAAGTGGGAGAATTAGTGATGAGTGAGTGAGTGAGTGAGTGAGTGTGTCAGTGAGGGCTTTGCCTTTTATATATTTAGATGACAGCACTGTAATGAGACCAAGACCATAAAGCTTTTATGGACCACATCGTACACCATGCCAGACCCGATAAATCGCTAGGCCTACCTATCGCCATAGAATGATAAAACTAACCACTACCTTTAATATTATAAATCGTGCAATATGAATTACTGCACTGATTTGTCATTTAATTGTCCAATTATAATTAGTTTTGCTCTACTAATAGAGTAATAGATTTAGTAAATCAATGTATGGTCTACATCAGTAAATATTATGAGAAACATTTGATGTTTGTAATATATACAATCAAAATCTCTCGAATCTTGTAGTAGACTTCCTGCCTGTTAGTGCTGGAATCGATTCATAGGACCATTCACTAAACTTGAACATGTAATCTACAATACACTGCTTACTTTCTTTATTTAACTCTTACATCCGGATGACAAGAATTAAAACCCCTATAAATGATGTGCCACTTGACATATGTCGCTATTTTAAAACTTTCAACAATGGGCATTTGCAAATTTTCAAAAATATTTTATTTTAATTTTTATAATTAAAAAAAACTTTACTTCTAGCATATCACAGTAAAGCTAATTTCATTAAGAGTGAGAACATTCAACCGAAGAAGGGCTAAGTGCATTGGTATAGGAAACACAAAGTATTAAAAACACATTGATTTTTTCCAAAAAAAAACTGCTGCCATTTTGAAATGGAAAAATAATTAATTTATGTTTTTGCCAAAATGTTTGTCTGTTAAATACCTTTAAAATGCTGTATAACTTAACAAGTGTTTACTGTTGAAAATTCTGGGATTTGAACTAGTGACCCTCAGTTGTTGGCACACCCTGTATAGGAAAAAAGTAAAAATTATTTTACGTTATTCCTTGGGGTTATTTAGCGGGAAATATTGTATTTCATCCTTGTACCTTAAGACGTTTTTCCGCAATCAATTTGAGACACCTTGCGTGCGCAATCCTGTATATTCTATTTATATCATATTATATTTATAGTATATTATATTTATATCTTATTTTTGTCAGGTAATACCATTTTCCAGTAAGACGGTTACATTTGTTTATTATTCAAAACCATTCAAGTATAAACAGGTGATGCATTTAAAATAGTTGATTATAAAGGTTACTGCACTGTTTAATTGATTGATCAATTACCTAAGAGCAGGTTATGTCTGAACCCAATCAAACAGTGAAGACATTTCAGAGTTGTTGATTGTAGTGTAACAAGCAACCACAGTTTTAATGTATTCAATATTATTGCATAGATTTGTTTTATTGCTTAGCATAGTTGATTTTAACATTGATGTAGTTATCAGTAATAAAAAGCAAATTTAGCAATAAGAAATAAATTTGATAATACATGTATGTTAATTGAAGTTGTTTTACAAGAACGAAACATAACGATAATACAAGTTTGAATATCTAAAAACAAAGATTAATCAAATGCTAACTGTTTTCCAAAACAATAATATGCATATGCCATCAAACATAATATACTTTAGTTATTTTTTAGGTTCACATTTTACACATGCACTATGTAAAGATGACTGTGATTCTACGATGGTACTGAGTCTTGAAGGAACAACTCTCATAAAACCCTGTTCCTGATTACCATTGTAAGCATTTCCTGCAGTATATGCGGGATAAGCAACGCGACTGTTCTTCCAATCCCATTTCTCCGCTCCAGAAGGAAGGTATACCTGTTCCTTTTCATTTCGCTTGCAACAGATACAGCTCCAACATGACTTGAACGGTGTGATCTTTGGAAGTGAAGCTGTCTGCTTGATGTACGTAACGTTGTCAAGGCTATAAAAGTTATTTGGAATTTCATAATCTAGTATTCTCTCTTCACTAGATAGAATTTGGTAGTTTTCCTCGCCAAAATCTTCGTTCTTTGTACAAGGTGAAAGCTGCTCACTATCTAATGGCTTAATCTTTTCGATACCTCCGTGTTCTTCATTGATTAATTTGGTATTTACAGTCATCTTTGAACGAGATCTCTCAGGACTGTATGCTAAAAGGTTTGAATTTAGATGGAAAGGCATGGAGGTTCCAATATTGATAATTATAGAAGCTGGGCTTGATTTTAACTCAAAGCCATTTTCCTTTGTTGTTAGTTGTTTACATCGATTCTTCAATGAAACTTGATCAAAGCAACATTTTTGTGTGGGTAAAATCGCCATTCTGGTGATCGTTGACAGCTCTTTTTCAACTTTATCAAACTCTTCTGGATTGTTGAGTTGTATGCCCTTCCTGCTTTTGCGCAAAGGGACAAAATTGTTGGAATTATCTTCTTCTTGTGAGTTTTTCATCCATTGAACTTTCTTAGTCAATGAGTGTTGAATGCACTGCGCGTTATCTACGGTTATCATTTTCTCCCTGTTTAAAGCAAAAACACATGTTACATATTTATAAAAAAGGTACCTTCTGACATGTAAGTTACACGTTTGTTTCCATGCTGTTTGGCCATCCACAAACAATGATTTAAGTTATCTAATTCATAGTTGTGAATTTCTTGAAACAAAATTTGGATTATTGGTTGCATGAAATACAAAGTGCAGCATCTTGTAGGGTTCTTGGAGTTGGACAGTAAGTGGCACATTAACACATATGTTTGCGAATTAATATATAGATATTTACATTTGGGTCTTGGAACTAAATTAATTAAATTATAAAAATATCATAACGATATTGAAAAAGCATTCTGCATATGATCTTTGACTATTAATACAATCTTCAGTATCCATAGTCAAATGATATGATATAAAATAATGAGGAAAAAGACAACATGCAAAGGATAAGTTAATGTCTGCAGTTTCAATCTTTCCCCGTACGGTCACCATGGTAATATATACAACCTCTTGCACAATTTCTTATACCCTATGTTAAATTATTTTACAATATAATTCATATTTTATTTAGAACTTCAAAAATAACTTACCTTTGCTAAAACTTACTAAATTTATTAAGAACTACTTCGATGCAAAGTATGTCAATAAGCTTTATGACTATTTTAATTTTAACTCTGGTCAATTTTTGTCGCTAAGATACAATATTTATTTCCTGTTAAGACACACACCAAATAGTTTACAGATTTTTACAGTTGTAATTAATCAATGATTACAACTCACATCAGTATCGTCTAGATAGTTTGATACTGGGTACGGCTGGTCTTTGATGATTGAGTTAGTCATCAGTTGGTCACCAAGTAAACGGTGTCCGGGCAATTATTGCGGGCGCTAGGGATTACTAGGACCTTACAAGGTTTTTACGGGTCTCAATTATTCTATTTCCATTATAAAGTTAACAAAACAAGTAATTTCTTATTACCACCCATGAGGTTATTGTATGTTACACATGCAAATTAATGTTGTTTGTCTTCTGACTTTGAAACCATAACATAAAGCACGAACAACATTCACCTATAAAATGTGACAAGATTACGTAACTCACTTACGTTTCACTTATAACGTAACTAAGATGAATACCACGTCAAAACATTAGAAGTCAACTGTTAATTTACCTATAATTTTAATTTTGATTTGTGTACCTTGGGGTAAAGTTTTCTAAAGTACATAAGATTAAACTATTCAAAACATGTAAAAAACTACCCCAAAATATTTCAAACTCTTTTATGTCAAATTATTCAAATTTTCACATTTTTACACAAGTACAAAAACTTGTTTTTCAACATAATCAAATAAATATTCAAAATAAGACATTTTTATTTTTCAATTAGTTTTTTACAAATGTATTACTTTACTAACTTGAATTGACTAAAATAGCATAAAAATAAAGACGTTTCCATCTTCTACTTGAGTTTGTTCTTTGTCATTAAAGTTAACCTAAATCGGGCATGTAATTGCAGAATACAAGGAATCTTATAAAGAACCTTGCTCTCAAAGAATCTCATAAAGGCTAGCTAAACCTTCATAAAGCTGGTAATTAAAGTCTTTCAAGGCTCTACTTTGCTCTGTGGTTCCAAGAATTAATTAAGAACCCTACTAAAGAACTACTGTTTGTGTAAGGGTGATTTTCTCATTGAATTCATTGTTCCTTGACTTACCTGAGTGTTTACTTCTTATTTCGTGTAAGTTTTGGATTGGTTTTAGCCCGTTTATCACACAATATTTAAGTTTGTAAACACCTTCTTAGTAATGAGACTTCTAGTGACAAAGGCCGGCTCCAAATTTGAGCCATTTTAAAGGCATGAACTTCGTTTTGTCATCTTCTATGAAGACAGTGTAAGATGTTTTATGTTGTGTTTTAGGGAATTTAAGTAAAATATTGTAATGTTATTTGTTTAAAATGTAAAGAAGAGATTTTGTGTTTTCATAGTACGTTTAATTAGCATTCGTAATTTTACGAAAATGCCTTGAAGTGATCGCGCACACAATGAAAATAATAGGTATATGATGAGAAATAATCGTTTTCACCCTCATCAACTATACAGTATATCAAATATATCACGGATTTTGAAGTCACAATAAAGTAACGCAGGCTGCTATAGTTATATTTATTTTATAACGGAAATGACTCGAGTAGCAGAGAATAGGTTAAAGTAGATTAACGCTACTTTTAAACTATACGATTTCTGGCGTCAGGTTGAACAGAACTATTTTACACAGTTTCTAATACTTTCACATTACACGATTTCTGACTGTAAGGCGAGATAAATGTTTTTAGAACGTCACAATAAACATACACAGTGTTCAATTGGCAGGTCTAATTGTAAATTATAAATATTGTAACAGCTGATCTATTTGCACTGGCTGGAGGGCACCCGTTCAATTAAAAACTGTGTGTTGTGCAGTATGAAAGCTTGCATTTAACTGCACGCGCCAGTGGACGGCTCAAGATGGGACAGTAATCTACCGTCACCGCAATCATGTGAAACCTACCATGATCTTCTTTAGACTAATAAAAAAATTACCCATTCAGTTTTCAGCCGTACTGGGAAAACCTTATCGTGTAAAACCATTGCGTAACCATTGTACGTTTGCGTGCCAACCATTGTCAATGTTCAGTTACAGGAGCCAACAATAATTATTAAGGTAAGAATAAAACTGAACATAAATTATTTGACTCTAATCCAGATCTAATGAGATATTATAGTAGTGGGATAATTTGGCTGCTGGCCAGATCAGTATTACCAAAATTACCATAAACAAAATATTTAATAATTTTTGTCTATGGTATTACCAACTTCTTACTAATCAGTTTATATCATTGCCAGTATTATCAGATTGAAATTTGCAAGGGGTTATGAGGCATTACTACACTCTTGATAAAGGAAGTGCAGTGTACAGAGGGAATAATCAGCAACAATCTTATATATTAAAACGTGAAAGGGATTTTTTATTTCACGATTCTGAATCAACCACTTGACGGATTTTCATGATTTTTGTGTTGAAAGAAAGATAATTTTGAGAGCTAGGAATGTCGAAACCATAATTTTAGTTTAGGGTTTCAGTTTTTGAGAAATTATGATTTAATTTTCAAAAAGTCTAGCAGCCGACGCTAACATTCTAGACAAGCTTTTGGTATATAATAACATTTGCTTTACGTAACAGCTGTAAACATTCAGCGTTTTTGACACAAATTCAGCATTTGGATGAATATGAAATGACATACGTAGGGTTGACTGATTTATACTATGTGTAATGCTATAATCATTGACACGTTAATTTATTCGGTAAGACGATGGGAGATTATTTAAATATACGTAGTAAAATATTAGATGTTCTAATTTATTTTTTTGAGCAGTCTTTAAAATATACGAGAGGTCGTCCAGTGGTCGAAACTCGACCAAAAATACGTAATGTACTCACTTATCTATTTTCACCCCACACTGTAAATAAAACATGTGATTTGAGTTTCTTCCATTTGTTTTGGTTTTCTGTTTATATTTCGTTGTTATTTTCGTTACCAGCATGGCAACGCATAAGATCCATGTTAATATTTTCAAATTTTTAAACTCATTTTTTGTGCTTATCTTTGAGCCTATTTAAATTTATAAAGGGATTCTGCACACCTACAGAAAAATAGTTTTCTAACGGTATGCGTAGATTTTCCCTACGATGAACACGAGCTGAGAAAAAAGGTTTTAAAGAAACATGCTTGCCTATTAATATATAGATAGATTTAGTTTGTTTTAGTGCAATATAATTTGTTATAACTAACAGCTGGTGCCCATTTCATAATAAAGTACAAACTAATATTATTAGTAAATCAGCTGATCGCCCAATGCAAATCTAATGGAAATTACAAGTTACAAGTTGTAGCTTATTATGAAATGGGCCCCAGGTTGGATAAAGAAATATTCTATAGAAGTGTGAGGTGAGTTTGTTTACTCTGTGGTTTTCTCATTGATTATAGGAAATAAGTAAGATTCTATAACCATAGCTGTATACGAATCGAAGCTCACCAGTCATCAAAAGAAAGTTTATGCAAATTATTTTACCTCTCGACTTTTTGAGGAAAGGTTGTGAAAATAACAATGATCACGTTTTAATTCATCTTAGCAGCTTTTTCTTTACTATAAATTTTGAACTGCTTAAACTATGCTTGAATTAGTAATAGACACCCTATATACAGTTTTAATGGACTACTCGATTCCCGTACGTAAACAGCTCGTCTTGTTTATAACATGACACTGTAAATTACCAATCTAAAGCAATTGAGTTGTGGATAAAGTAAAACTGTGAAACAAAATTATAATAACAACAACTGTATTTGGTCTATTATTATAAATATGTAAATTTATAAAATTGTGATATTTTCAAATTTGTTAACAAATCATTGTAACATACAGCATTAAACAAAAACATTACAATTTAACACAAGAACACAAAATACACCATAGAATCAAAATAGGAACGAAAATGGGGTAGTGCATGGTTTCAAAATAGTTTACATAAGTGTACTAATAGTTTCAGCTATATCATATTGCTGAAGAGGTTCCTGAAATCCTTACAGATTATTTTCTAATCCTTTAGAAAATGTTCTTAACTGTGAGATTTCAAAGCTTGTCTACAGGTTTCTTTCCTCGTACAACAGTGACGTCACAGTTAGAACACATTCTTTGGTACGTAGAGGAGCACAGGCAGTAGTAGTGGGGCTTGACGTGATCGGCAGCATGACTGGAGCTGTAGTGATACGAGCCCCTCTCACAGTGCAAGTTAACATCCAGCGTGTCATTGGACAACACCCCAGACAGTAACATTCTATAAAGCACCTGTTGAAATAAATAAGTAATTATAGTCTACCATTTAGACGTTACTGTGAAACGGGAGGAAAGAAATAATTAATTATTTACCTTGCAAGCTTTTTCCCCAATTTGATTCCCTCTAATGAACAATCCTTGGATGGGATGTTCCTTCTTCAAACAATTCAGTATGTCAAGAACTCCTTCTTCTGTTATATGATTTTTTGAAATATCCATAAATGTTATTCTTGAGTAGGGGAACTTCATACTCAAACTTCTGAAAAGACAAAAGAATTTTAACTTAATGGTAACTTTATGGCACAATAACTTAGGTTATGAGTTGATCACATCATTCATAATCATATGTAAAGTAGAATTTTAATACCAAAACACCCAATTGCACATCAAATTGTTGTGTAGCCTACGATGATGTGTTGTAAGCATATTTTGCAATTTGAAGGCCTCAAGTCGCCCCTTGGTAAATAGTGTCATTTTCAAATGCCCTTGATTTTCTATTAGGCTTTATCACATGTTGCAAACCTCCATAAGAGGTGAACCTTAATAAGAGGTTTCATTTCTTGGACTGGGCGTGTTGGAATTTGGGCTATTTGATGATTAAGTCAATTAAACAGAGGAAGAGAGACCTGCCACCGTAACTCCACCAAGTCATCAAACCAATGACTCTGTTAGTCATCGGTCCAATTAAACTGACTGCGGTACTAGTAACCGTGTGTGTGTATATATTTTTGTAAATATAGACTATAGTGTTAGTGATAAGATTAATTCAGGAAAACCCCTGAAGATACCACACAAGGTGGAGAAATGCATAGGATAACATAAACTTCTTACCTACAAGAACTTAGGCAACAACAAATAAGGTAAATCAAACATAAATCAAGTTCTTGTAGAAAAAAATATTCTCTAGCATATACCAAATAACTTTCTAAAATTGTTCTGAACGGTTGCCTACCTTGCTCCCGAATCTCTGATATTATTGCTGCTGACCATCAATGTCTGCAAAGGACTTCTTCCGATGTATTCAGCGAGTCGTTCGACTCCATGGTCTCCAAAATTGTTACACGAAAGATCGAGTAGTAAAATGGAGGAATTGTGTTTTAACCCTTCAACTAAAAGCTCAATGTCGTGATCAACAAAACCTATTTTCTGTAGGTGAAGTTCTCTCAAAGTGTTGTTGATCTAGAAGATGGTTTTTTTTAAGGATGATAACAATCATTTTGAAATTCGATTAAAAAGTGTAGTACTACTTAAATTGCCAAACACTAGGGTGAAAGTTCAGTTGTAGTGTCTTAAGACTAATAATTAGGACTACCGATTAATATAGAATGACTACCTGCAGAATCACTGCAATTACTGGCTTGAGCATGACTATGATACGTATAACAACAGAGCCTACTTCACTGTCTTTAGATAGTCTTTTCTGTTCTGAGTTATGGTTGTGGTTTAACACATTAACATTATCAGACTCAGGTAGGTGGAATAACGTTATCAGTCACATATGCGTAAGACACCACAATAGTGTTGTTTGGGTTGGACTGCTGGACTGTTGTAGTCATTCCACCTACCCAAGTCTTGTTAAACTAAAACATAACAAATGCTGGTGAAGAGGATGGAATTCGAACCCACATTGCAAAGCACATTGAATTTAGCACCGTTAAAATTCAGTAATTTACATTTTCAATCTCTGCTGGGAGGAATAGCTTGAAGCAAATGAAGCTCTGGATTAAGAAGATATCCTTTGTGAGGTTAGAATACATGTTTTCAGATTGCAATAATTTTGAGCCATACATTTACTAAAATGTTATTTTGTATGGCCGCTTCACAAAGTTGATACTGTAAACATGGTAAAAAAACTTACTTAGAGTGCTATAAACAGAGTGTTTAAAATATATAGTTATGTGAGCTAAATGTAGGTGTTTAATTTTTTTTCCAACTAAGTTGTTTAGATCTAAGTACGTTTCTAAAGCATGTTACTGTTTCTACAGACTAAAACAAGATGGATCAAATATTATGTCTTACCACAAGCATTTGTTGGAGAAGATCAGCCACATGGTCAGTCTGCAGTGTGTGACCCAAAGGACCAAGTATCCTGTTAAAGTTGACAGCCTGGACTGTATTGTTGGTGCGAAGTACAGTAGTGAAGTACGCCAGAGCTGAGATATCCATATCTGTCTCTCCAACATCTAGGTGAGTCAGAGTGCTGTTGGACGACAACATCATCACCAGACTTTTCAACCCCTGAAAGCACTCAGGATAACCAATAGCTGACAGGGTCACGTGTGTTATTGTGAGATGTTCATAACATTCTCATTAACTCCTTACTTTATCTAACCAACACTTTTTTCAAGGTTCAAGAACCCAGCTGTATATCAATCAATCTTTGTTTGCCATTGGGATACATTTACATATGACAAAGAATTTAAAAGTGTCAAGCCCTTGAATGGACAAAAAACCAACGATCGAGGAAAGCAGAGTAAAAGTTCCAACCATAAAAAAATTACCCTTAAGAAATTAGGTGATTTTTAACATAATTATAAATACTTTACTACCACCATGATCGCCCTAGCATAGCAAAGCAAACTTCACTGATGTAACCTAAGATGGTCCACTTGGTCCAAGACCGAATGTTTACCCTTGCTAGTTCAATGTGGCCGCCTTTGACCACACACTCTCCGCCTCAGGTCATCATTCATCCATCAGGTCTCCGGTCTCCGCCTATGATCGCCTAATTGAATTTACAACCGGACAACCCAACTTAGGTTTATTAGATTTCACAAATCCATGCAGGAAGAAGAAATAATCGGGGGGTTCTAGCTACTTGACGTTTGTTGAACAGATGTTTTACACTTAAACTTGGTCTTGGCGTCTTTTTTACCAAGGCAGACGGTGCACCGTCCATTTTTACTGGGAGGCTAGATCAGTGGACTATGGTTTGGTTGGACATTTCCATCCAATTGATTTACAGATACAGTAGAACCTCTTTAATCCGAACCCCTGTAGTTCGAACGTCCACTAATCCGAACGCCTCATTGCTGTACTATATACACAGTACAGCAGCTCTTTATTGTAAACTGCATTTATTGATATACGCACCGTAATTATTTTAATTGTAATGTACAGTACTTTTTATTCCCTATGTTTACTACTGTATTAAACAAACACTGTATTTACTATATAAAGCATTTTACACTTTTCCCTAGCTATTGTTATGTTAAAACAACAATATGTTCTGTAATCCGAACTATTCAATAGTCCGAACTACCCCCGGTCCCAATTAGTTCGGATTAAAGAGGTTCTACTGTACTAAGTTTTTTTGCAAACTTTCAGTACACAATCAACAATATAAATAATAAAGTTATTAATACTAATTATGATGATAAAACTGAATCACTACTATGCGCACGGGGGTACACTAGACCCCCAATGAACACAGTACTGGTAACACAAGCATGCGCGTGGGGGTATTCCAGATCCAGGGTGGTGATAGTCAATGACTGGTCAAGACTAACAACCCTGCGGCCAGATGAGCATATGTCATTTTAGGAAGCTATACTGTAATGCTCACCAGGGTTGCCACCATACTTGTAAAATTATGACAAAATTACCATAAGTGGGGGTATATCATACACCCGCGCGCACATATTCCATTCTACTATAACATAAGTTTTATTATCAAAATACCTTTGGTCCAATTTTATTCCCATTTACTCTCAAAGATTTAAGTTTCAGATTTCTAGCCTGGGACAGTTGAATAATACCATTTTCTGTGATATTGTTGTTCATAAGATTCAAGTCTAATACAGAGTCATTTTCCTGCAAAGTAAGAATATTATAAAATTGTTTAGAATTAAAAAAAAAATAGTTTGATACATTATTAATCTCAAACATTGTTGTTGATAATATTAAAAACTATTCTGAATCAGCATTGACTTTTTTATACGGTAGAAGACATCCCAACTAAATTGACCAGCTACACACAGTGTAACTTACTATTGCTCAAATTATATTTCCTCCGTTAGATTTTGATATTATGGTGTATATTATTGTGTGTTGGAACGTAGCGTATTCAAATTGTTTAAGTTCCGTAAAGTGTCTAAAGATAAAAATCCAGGGCCAAAATGTGCATAAGGATTTTATTTTTAGCCTTGAGTGAAATATGCTGAAGCTGAAACTAATGAGAGTTAAAATTCATTTCCATCCTAGCTCCTGAGCTGTTGTATTCAATATAATAAATAGGTTACATACCTTATAAATCCGACAAACAGCTCATTTTGAAAAGAAGGTTGTAACAGGCCGAAATATGTAAACAACCTTATTTTCAAAATGATGTAAATGGATTTATAAGGTGTAGCTGTGAACTAGCATCAGCTGACTAGTGTCCTTTATGTTGACGATTTTGGATATTTCGGTTGTCATGGTGACTAATGGGTGTTGAGTTGAATTAATGTTTAAAGAAGGTTCGTTTTGTTGTCCTGTTTTTTTTTTTTAAGTGTAAAATATAACTAAGTTGTAGAAAGTTCTAAGAGTTTTATTTTCCCACAAGCTATTTCGGCATGTCTGGAAACGGTACAAGATTTTCGGATTTGGTAAAGTTGTATGATGGCGAAGGAGACTTCTCGGAATGGCTGAAAAAGTTAGAGCTTGTATGTAAACTTCAGAAGGTTAAAGAACTACAATCAGTGCTTCCCTTGTTTTTGTCTGGAGGAGCATTTGCCGTCTACGATGGGCTTACCGACGCAGTTAAGAGTGATTACTCCGCCCTGACCCAAGCTTTGCAGCAGGCTTTCTCTGCTAACTGTTTCCAAGCGTATGAGGAGTTCATATCCAGACGTTTGCTTCCAGGAGAATCTGTTGATGTCTACACATCTGATTTGAAAAGGTTGGCTAAATTAATAGATTCTTCAGTTTCTGACGAGTGGATAAAGAGTTCTTTTGTTCACGGACTACCCAGAGAAGTTCAAAATCAGTTAAAGGCGGCATGTTGTTTGCAAGACATGGAGCTGTCAAAAGTGTTAGAAAGGGCGAGAAGTTTGGTGAATGGAAGTGAATCCAATGTTGGAGCCGCCGCTCAGATGGAAGTGTCCGTAAATAAAAGACAGTATAGTAAAAAATGTTTTATCTGTAACTCGGAAGGACATCTAGCAAGATCATGCCCACAAAGAAAGCCGAGTAGCACCTTGAATGTAATTTGTTTCCGCTGTGGAGAAGCAGGACATTATGCTCCAAAGTGTTCACAGGCTCAAAAAAACGAGTAAAAGGGGCCACCCTTTGTTGCGCGGGTGGCTATCCTTGTTTGACTGCGCAACCACAACTGCCGACGTTGATGGTAACTGTTGCTGGAACTAAGTGTTGTGCATTATTAGATACATATTAGGTGCATATTAGGGGTGTTCAAGAACTATTATCTCACCGAGTCTTGTCAGGTCTAAGAAACTAATAAGGCCCACAAGTCAACGAGTGGTAATGATGAACGGGGACGTAGTAGACTGTAACTTAATGTGAGACAGAGGTGTCCGTTAGTGGGATTAACCTATCGTTAAACTGTTTAGTTGCTCGATTATTGCCAAACTATCAGGTGCTATTAGGAATGGATGCGATTTCTGCAATGGGTGGAGTTACGATTCAGGGGGATGGTGGCGTAGAATTTAAAAAGGGTTTGTGTACTGGAGCAGTGGCTGAATCTGAGCAAAAGGGTGACGGTGACCAGAAAATCATCAGGGAGATCGAATCCAAGCAAGAAATTAATATTGATAAGAAATCTGCAGAGAAAATCATTATTGAAGACTGTGATTTTAAGGCAGAATTTTTAGATGGAAAATGGACAGTGGAATGGAATTGGAAGGATGTGAACAGACTGCCTATGTTGGAAAATCAAGTAAAAATGTACAGAATTCCTGAGAATGCTACCGAAGCCTTCGAAACTGAAGTTGAAGAATGGATAAAAAGTGGTTGGCTGCAGCCCTATCATGGAGAGTTTGAAGGTGTGATTCCTTTGATGGCTGTCATACAGCAAAATAAGGATAAAGTGCGGCCTGTAATGGACTATAGAGAACTTAACCAATTCGTTTCAAGCCATACAGCTGGAAGTGAGGTTTGTAGTGAAAAGTTAAGATTGTGGAGACGATTGGGTGAACATGTGAGTACAGTTGATCTTCGTAAAGCGTACTTGCAAATTCATATTGCTCCACATTTGTGGAAATTTCAAATTGTCAAATTTAAGGGTGAAAACTATTGTTTAACTCGACTTGGGTTTGGGTTAAACGTTGCCCCAAAGATTATGAGCAGTATTGTTAACAAGGTTTTATCGATGGATCCGATAGTTAGGAGTGCCACAGATTCATATGTCGATGACATCGTCGTTAATGAAGAAATCGTCAGTAGTGATGTTGTGATTAGATTGTTGGAAACATATGGTTTGACAGCAAAGCCGGCAGAAACGCTTGATGGAGGCAGAGTATTAGGACTAAGGCTGAGAAGAGCAGGATGTAAGCTAATGTGGTACAGAGATAACAAATTAAAACCTTTGGACCAAGGTAAAACAAAGAAAGATGTTTTCTCGTTGTGTGGGCAATTGATTGGACACTATCCAGTAGCAAGCTGGCTTCGACCTGCATGTAGTTTCGTTAAGAGACATTTGTCGGATCTGAAGTGGGATGATTTGATCAGTGAACGTGCGCAAACTATGTTAACAAATATTATGGATCGAATCGATGAAAGAGACCCAGCCACTGGCAAATGGGCTGTGTCCCCTGGAGAAGAAGGAAAAGTGTGGTGTGACGCAAGCAGTCTAGCGATCGGAGTTTGTCTAGAAATTGAAGGTGAGATAGTCGAAGATGCTTCGTGGCTGAGGAAGCAGCATGATTCAGCACATATCAATTTAGCAGAATTGGAAGCTATCCTAAAAGGAGTAAATTTGGCCCTGCGTTGGGGGTTAAAGAAGATCGTATTAATCACGGATTCAGCGACAGTTCATGTTTGGGTGTCATCTATACTGACGGGGGACGGTCCTATCAAAACACATGGGTTAAGTGAAGTTTTGGTTAGAAGACGATTAAGCCTATTTAAAGACATTATTTTGGAATGCGGTCTCAATGTACAAATAGAACTCATTAAGTCACAGTTCAACAAAGCAGATCTTCTTACAAGAGTGCCAAAAAAATGGTTAGCAAGAAACGAAGAGACTAGCATTGCACTTGTGTGTGAGAATGAGAGTGTGGACCAAAAGACATTGGTGAAACAGGTTCATGACTTGCATCATTTTGGTGTTAACCGTACTTTATTCACCGCCAGACGGTGTCACCCAGACATTAACTTTACCACAAAAGTTGTTGAAGAAGTTGTGAAAAGTTGTAAAGAGTGTCTGTCAATTGATCCATCCAGCATCAAATGGGAGCCTGGGTTTTTGGATTGCCAGAACAATTGGTATAGGCTTGCCATTGACGTAATACACTATGGTCAAAGCAAGTTCATGACCATTGTGGACTGTGGTCCAAGTAGGTTCTGCATTTGGCGCCGGATCCCAAAAGAGACGAAAGATCAGATTTCTAAAGTGTTGTTGGAATTGTTTACTGATCGAGGGCCACCACATGAGATTTTGATGGACAATAGTGCAACATTTCGATGCGAAGAGATTACTCAGCTCTGTGATAAATGGGGTATTAAAGTTGTGTTTAGGTGTGTCAACCGGCCAAGTGGAAACGGGATAGTTGAGCGAAACCACAGAACAATCAAGCGTATGGCCGCAAGAACTAAAGGGAGTATCCAAGAAATGGTCTATTGGTACAATTTGACACCTAAAGAAGGATTAGGTGGCGATTCATCGCCGAGTTCCCAGATTTTTTCGTACCAATGGCGATGTAAAGGTGAACCTGTAAAAGGTGAAGTGTATGAAGGGTCACATTTTACAGTAGGTGAACGTGTGTATGTCAAGCCGCCAAACCCATCCTGTACTTCGAGATGGAAGGAAGGAGTGGTTACTGGACAGTTTTCACCCAGAAGTGTTGAAGTAAATGGCAGGCCTCATCACATAACAGATGTGCGAAAAGTAGTTGAAAGTAAAAATGAAAGTGTAAGTTGTGTCGGCACCTCGAGGGCGTGTGGTGGTGTTGACACCACGGGGGCGTGTAGCTGTGAACTAGCATCAGCTGACTAGTGTCCTTTATGTTTACGATTTTGGATATTTCGGTTGTCATGGTGACTAATGGGTGTTGAGTTGAATTAATGTTTAAAGAAGGTTCGTTTTGTTGTCCTGTTTTTTTTTTTAAGTGTAAAATATAACTAAGTTGTAGAAAGTTCTGAGAGTTTTATTTTCCCACATAAGGTATGTAACCTATTTATTATATTTAATGAGAGTTTCCCAACACAAGAAATTATCATCAAAAAATCTGATAAATTCCCAAATTGAATTTAATAATAAATATGTAGCAACTTGTCTGAGTAAATGTGATGCTTATACACACACATAACATACAGAACACATACATAGTCATCAGAAAATCATTGGTTCGATCCTGAGAAGTCAATGGATCAAAGATGGACCCAGCTGTCCACAATCATAAGGCTTGAATAAATGGCTCCGGCCATTTTAGTCGTTGAAAAAGCTTAATAATTATCAATCATTCAACACCCATAATTATATTGTTAAAATAGGCACCCTTTGGTGTGTGGATGCTGTATAAATCGAATCTAGTACACATTCAAGAGTGAAAATTTAAAAACGTACGTTTTCAGGAAAAGCACTTTGCAAATTTTTTTCCCGTTTTTTCAAAACTTTTATTATTTTTTTTATTTCATTAACATTTTAAGTTTCATAAAATGTCCATGGTAACGCAATATCTTTGGTAGTTTTTTTTTAAAGAGCATCTTTAGTGGAAAAACACAAAATCCTGTCACGACCATAACAGACGTTTAAATGAATATTAAAAATAGTTAATATTATTTTTATAACTATGTTTTGCTATAAACTAATTTACTTTTATGACCATTATACAATAAAAAGGTCACTGAGCTTTTGGTATAATTTGGTCTTTCTAAAAAAAAAATAAAAAAACTCAAAAATTGAAAAAAGCCAATAAAATCGTTTTAAGTTTGTATAACTCCGAAACAACTTACCTGAGACCCGAAAAATCGTTATGTTTGTATAGAGGTGTGCTTCTTTTGTGTATTTTCTGAAATAATCTAAATCTTTCTAAACAATCCTTCAATTATACTGTTAGTTATAATAAAAATATGTGTTTCAATTGAACTAAACAGTTCAATTTACAATTATATTAAAGTTATTGTCACGACCAAATACACTATAATCCATAAGGATTGGATTGGTCGTGAAAAAACCCGCGATGGTCGTGAAACTTTGGTCGTGAAATTACGTGTTATTTGGCTCTGTTCTGGCGGTAGCCCTGCACCTCATGTTCGAGGATACAAAGTGGACTTCTAGATTAATCTAGCAATTGAAATATCTTATAAACAAAAATTAACACCATGTCTACTTCATCGAATGACTACGTACGGTCATGGACACACCAAAATTACAAAAAACACAATCTTTCCTTTATTAATCTTGTAATTCCTCCTTTCAACTCGAAACGACCGGCACTACAATCCTGACGTACACCCCGAACTAGTCTCTAAAACCAACTGACTCCATCGACGCCAGTCTTGCCACTGTCGTGCTCCAAAGTAGAAAATTTTTCCCAAATGGTCGTGACGCCAAATCGAGGGACAGACTTATTTTGTCATGGTAATCAGTTTGCAATGACAATAAAATTATAATATGCTCATTTTTTGTAAGTTTAATAACCATTGATGACATAAAAATATGGCTTTATATATTTCGGCATGAATAATTAGTCTAAAAACAGCGTGAAAGTTGGAAAATGTACCCTAGGGACACGTCATGGTCGTGAATTTCGAGAATTTAAAAATACAAAAAAAATACCTAGAACCTATTTAAAACCAAATAAATGTGTGTAACATGTTGCCCCCGTCCCAAAAAATATTAAAACACATAATAATAAACTACAAATCCAGTATCTACGAAGTAAAAGGCCAGGGACATGAAAACGTACGTTTTTAAATTTTCACTCTCAAACTAATTGTTTGGAAGCCATTGTTCACCATAACAGTTAGCCAAGAATTTGTTAACATTTCACTTACCTCTAGGAAGTTTATTATGGTTTCCATCCCTCTATCAGTGATGTTATTGTAAGCTAGGTTCACTGCAATCACATCATTGTTTCTTTGGAGGAACTTGCAAATTATAGGAATATCTTTATCATCTATTCTTCTCCTTTAAAATAAATACTTTAGTGTTGGAAACTATCTAACTAAAATAACAATACAGATTACCTCTGCATATCTCTCAGGGGGTTACTCTGTGTGAACTATGAGATAAATCAATTAATTTCATACATTTAATAGACAACACACTGCAAATATTGATTTGTCCTTATGAAAAATCATAGATCAATATTATTAAAATACTTTATGGAAACTACTTAATACAAATAAGTACTGAGATGAATCAAAATATCTTTGTAAAATGATGCTTCAAACTTATTGCTTGGGTAGCTGAGTAGTTGTAGGTTGTAGTGCTCACTTTCAAATGGATGTTGCTGGTTTGATCTTAGGCACGAGAGATTCTTGACCCAAATACCATTTTAAAAGGCATCAATATTAAAAGATGCTATCTAACACAAGATTGACGTAAAGACAGTAAAACCCAGGTTTGGACCGTTCCCAAGTGTAAAAAATATGCCATGGCTGATAATGACTACCATGAAACATATCAACACAGACTTTTAAGTTTTATAATGAGATGAAAAGTCTACTATCAGAATCTGAAGTCAATATTTGTGCATATGTAGAAATCCCAAAGATGCACTTTACTGGAATTTAATGTTGTTTTCTAATCACATTTGTGCATTAAACAGGATTTGAAAATAGCGCTGCAATTTCAAATGCCTCTTCCTATTGTAGGTCAATGTTTCACTAAAACTTCTAAAATCAAATTTGATCAAACTAATCAATAATCACCTTACTCTTGAGAACATCTCTTTTCCAACAAGAAGAAGTATTTTTGTACCTCGTACATCAAGATTTCGTTTGCACATACAAGCTAAAAACAAATCGTTAACAATGTATTTTTTGTTTTGTGATTTATCCAATTCGGTCATTTTAAGAATGTTTAAATTTATTTAAGTGGTGCAGTATTCTTATTTACAAATCTATATTTGTTGTTTGGTTTCAAAACAACAATATTTATAAAACATCAACATATGCTTTGCTCAGAATTAAAAATATATTCTAACTTGCTCAACTTCAGTTTTGACTTATTAGTGGTAAGGAAAACCATCAATACAAATAAATTATACTCACCCTTTTACTTAGCATATGTAATCTTTGCTTATTGCTATATGCTTTGGTTATTTTGTTTTGTGTCGTATATCTTGTTAAAGACAAAACCAGTTTTAATCAGTTGCTGGCTGTTTGTTCATACAAAGAAACAATTTTTGCTTGAGTTTCAATCAACGAGTTTTAATGTTATTTGTTGTTTTAAAGTGCAACAATGTACCAATTTGACAAAAAATTATGTGTTGGATCATAGACAAATAGAATAAATATACTGTGAAAGGAAGGTTCCAGCGCCCACCGCTAGGTTTGCCGTGTAGTTACGGCTCACACCGCTGCAGGCGAGGAGCGCAGGAGCCGTATGCGACCAGCAGACACTACAGCGGTGTGCGCCGTAACTACACGGCAAACCTAGCGGTGGACGCCGGAACTTATGCCAACCGCAGCTCAGCTGACGGCAGTCTATATTTATTCTATTTGTCTATGGCTGGATGCAGGCAAGGATAAGTGTTCTGCACACAGTTTTCCAAAATAACATTTGGACTCCTCTACTATGGTTTTGAAAATAAACAAGTGATCTTTTGAAAGGGTATCAATATTTGCTTTTGTTCATACTCAGTGATGTTAACATAAAGAAAATTACCAGTTGTTTTGAAAGCAGAAAGGTTGACTGGTAATCTTATTAATATATACTAAAAAACTTCTGCAAAACTTATGACAGCTAGCCTGGCCATACTACTGGACCGAATTACACGCGGTTGGTACCAAATTAAAGATATTATTCTTTAGATATGCAGAATCCCTTTATAAATTAAAATAGGATAAAAAATAAACACGAAAAATTAATTTGAAATTTAAAAAAAACTTAACATGGGCCTTATGGGTTGCCATGTTGATGACGAAATAACAAAAAAACATAAACAGAAAATAAAAACAAATGGAAGAAATCCCAATCACATGTTTTATTTACAGCGTGGGGTGGGTAGCTGGCAGGAAACTGCAGCAGCTGCAAAGGCTAGCGTGCTCGGGGATCTGCGGGACCATGAAATCCTGCCCCACATCTGCAATGGAGGCAATACTCGACATGCTCCCACTAGGGCTGGAAGTCAAGAAATGTGCAGCCATATTTGCCCTTAAAATGGGAAGCAGAGGCGAGCTGAAACTACAGAGGCAGTCTGGTCACCTGTCCATCCTAAGGGACTTCCCAAGTATGGACGGACATGGAACTAAGTATACCGACCTCATGGCAAAGGAATACGACTTCGAGATTCCTTACCAAGTGGCTATAGGAGGAAGGGATAACTGGCAACAGTGTAACTTCAACTTTGATAGATCATGCTTGGTTTATTACACCGATGGAAGTCGAAAGGATGAGAAATCAGGGTTGGGAGTGATGGCAACAAAACCAAAATATCCCTGGCCTTGGGCAGAACAACAACAGTATTTCAATCAGAGGTCCTGGCGGTTGAGTGCTGTGCTAATAATATTATCGGCAAGAATCTGAGCAAGGGGAAAATCCTTATTCTCTCTGACAGCCAGGCAGCATTGAAGGTGCTGGGCTCATGTGTGACAGTCACAAAACAGTAAAAGGGTGCAAAAACACCCACAAAATGCTAGCAGAGCGGAACCAAGTCAAACTGTCTTGGGTCCCTGGACATTCGGGGCATGAGGGGAACGAAAGAAACGATGCATTGGCCAGGAAGGGTGCGGAAGACCAACTGTCGGGACCAGAACCCTACTGTGGTACCCCCATGACTCAGGAATAGCCAAAGTCCGAGACTGGGTCAAAGCTCAAAAGGCTTTGGCCTGGAGGAACTACCCAGGAATGAGGACCTCTAAAACACTAATTGACCCCACTGATAAGGGTTGGAAAGGCGTGCTGAGCCTTAAGAAGGGGGGCATTAGTCTACTAGTAGGAGTGTTAACAGGGCACGGTCCTATCAGGAAACATCTCATGACCATAGGTAGGTCACAGACAGACCTCTGCAGGTTCTGCGAGAACGAGGTAGAAACCTCAGAACACTTATGGATGGACGGTCCAGCGTTGGCCCAAAGAAGGCTTACATCCATGGGCAGGTCGTTTTTGGAACCAACAGAAATGAGAAAGCTGGGTGTCTTTCAGCTCCTGGGCTACTTCAGAAGCCTAGGGCTGTCAGAATGATTCAAGTGAAGCTGCAATAGGCCTCCAGGCCGAAGTAGCCAGGGGTAGGTCATTACCCCAACCCCACAAGGAGAAAAAAAACAGGGCGGGAAAGAAAACCGTCAGATCATTTTGCCACTCCCTGTACTTCTCATGTTATGAAAAAAGGTTGTTTACAATTAATTGCATTAAATTGCATTACAGCGTTGAGACATTTTTCACACCGCATTAGCATATTGCCTTAGGATATCAAGCTCACATACTCCACATGTTTGAAGCCTGTCTGAATTTTCAACATCACACAATTATACGTGCATGAATGAAATGTAACAAAAATAATTAGTGGTCAACCTAACATGATTAGCAAGAGATTGAGTGTCCATAGTCCATTGAAGGTAAGTTGCAAACTGTAGATGAGCCTTGTTACCGTTAACGACTCTGACCAGCAGTTCTTTAGCCAAATTCAAAAGTCCTAAATCACAGCTAACGAGCTAACCACATAGAGGTTGCAAGAATTAACTTTTTTGAACCCTCCAAAGAGAAAAAAACTCCGGAGAGTTGCATAACTACAATTTAACATTGCAAGTAAGAGACAAGATTCAATTTTAATAAATTACTGATATTAATACATTGAAAATTATTGCAATTGAAGTTTACTAGGCTTGTCTTGACGATGGACATCTTAGATGGGTTTGAAAATTTGACATGCCCAACACTCCTAAGCAGTAACCAAAAGATCATAGCAACAATTTTGAAATGAAAAACGTATAGTTTTTGTAAGTTTATTTTTTAAACAAACTATTTACAGTACAAATATTTCCATAACTCATAATTGCATAACATTAATATACATTTTTCTATAAATCGTAACACATGAAGTGGCATTGCGCTCTCACATCACAATAGCATCGTTGCCAAATGATAAAATCACAGAAAACAAACTTATCTGCAAAAAGTGCTTGGGTTTACGTTTGAAATTTTTAAGATAAAATAAAATATTTAACAAGCAAAATAAGTAAAGCGATAGGTAAGGCGTCAATTAAAAGGTATAACTCTGTACATGATACAATTTACAGCTTTGTTCAAGTTTAAAGACCCTACTATATATCAATACAAAAATAATATATCCCACACAACAGTTATATACACCTTTCACACAACGGCTTCGGAACAGAAGAAAGACAGAGATTCGTATAATACTTGGTAGGCCTAAATGCCTTTGTGCTTTCAGATGGGTTATAAATTGGATAGCAGTTGACTAATTGGTTTTACATTACTTTCATAATTCCAAATGTTATTGTTATTGTCCAAACATTCAAAGTGCTACCCTAAATTTTCAAACACTTTAGTCCAGAAATAAACATGAAATCCTCTTGAATTACTTTTGTTGATGGTTTAAACATACGACATATTAAATAAATACTTTGTTTGATAGGCCTATCAAAAGTAAGCAAAATTGCCGATACACCAGCGGGAACCAACTCAATTCACAAACGCGGCTCTTGTACGGGCAATGTTGAATGTCGTGTGTTAAATCTTGTGTGTTTAAACCATCAATGAAGCTATTCAAGCGGATTAAATGTTTGAAAATGGCAGCCCGCCAAAACATGTAGCACATTGAATGTTACAATTTGGAACCGATACAGGTAATTTTGACCTATTAGTCCATATTGCAGATATCTGGCTACGTCAATAGTTGATTGTTATTCTTTTAGTACCCAGAAGTAATATGTACGTAAAATCAATGAACAAAGAAACATGATTAAACATGATGTAAAAATGTATTCCACACTATACACCGCAGTAAGACTAATGTTATTCCAAATCTATATTGACCAGTGAAATACTGTTTGAAAAAGTAGACATCTCTATATTAATATTTAAATATTTGTATTTGGCATCAGTCAATAAACAATACTTTAAAATATTTTTGAATCGCACAGTAATAATTTTTAACACATACACTCATCGAATAACGTTATAGAGATAACTTTATAAACAATCGTTTTTCGGACGAATGTTTCTCAATTTCAAACTATTTCCAGAATCAAGGAAGATGACGTTAAAGCTTGAGTAAATCTTTGGTCTACTCTAAACTGGTACTGCTCAGAACGTACTTGACGGTGTACGCAAACGCTGCAAATCCAATGAATACAAAAATGTTTGCCACCACGCTCTGTAGCGGGTTTTGGTTTTGGTCGTTGACCCCCACGTTTCCATGTGCAGGGTTCGTGGGGTCGTAGCCAGGACAGTGGTTTTCATTGGCGTCATTGATCATGTTGTTTCGCTCAGCCTGGAGGCGTTTGTTCAGCTTTTCTCTCATTGTCTGGAAAAACAGTTGATTTATTCAACTATGTGTAAAATGCAGTTGTTATAGTAAGTAGTAAGTGCTAAAGTAGGCCTAATAGAAGCCCTGGGGGTTAGGGGAAAGGAAGCAGGATGGTTCAAAAGCTACCTGAAAGACAGAAAGCGGCCGGTTGAAATGAACTAGGCCTACATAAAAAACAACACAATATATGCAAAGCCCATTCAGAAACATCCGACATACATAGGGGTGTCACAGTATTGAGGGTGACAATTGGAATTGATCAAATTTCCCTTTGTAAGGAGAAAAGGCCTATTTCCAGAAAAAAATTATCCTGTATTCCGATGAATTAGGCCTACTCTTTTCCCCGGCAAATTACCCTTTTCCCAGGTGATAATTATTGCCCACCCTGTAAATCTCCCCCATCCAAAACCTCGACTCCCACCATGTCCCCTAGTGGTGAGTTTTGCTTATTTGTTTAATTATTAATAAAATCAAGTCTCAGCTTGGCAAAAGTAATTGAAGAAAATTAGAGTATAGTTGACATAGAATAGTGGTTTGAAAGTGTGGCAAGGGACTTGCCACTAGAGCACTAGTAAAATTAGCTTACTATAGCCTAGTAATTAGTTCAGAAGTCATTATTTTATTAATTTGTATAACAACTTTGATCCAGCAAAATTTCAAACCAATCTAACCTTGCATAGCTTATCAAATAACACGTACTCTTGCAAACTTGTTAAAACAAACCTTGATTGCAATCACAACCAAACAACAAACCTAGCAGATAACAATATATGTTTGAGATAAGCTTGACTCACTTCTACTAGATCAGGGAACAAATCACAAAACTGCTGATTGTTGAGGTTATGACTCAAGCTTTGTATCGCAAGATTTTTCCTTTCGTAATCACTCGCTTCAATACTGCCTAATGTTGGACTTTTTTCCGTCTGTAACAAAAAAGGAATATTGAATCACAGAATACTTAAAAAATTATAATCATATTCATCATTCAGTTCAAACGCTTAGAACTACAGTAGTGATGTGTCAAAGCCGAATCTCAAATCTCAAAACCATCAAAACTTTGGAAAAGTTTGGTTTTAACTGTTTCGAGAACTGATCACCGAGTTTCGAGATTTAAAAGTTTCAAAGCTTAAGATTCTGGCAGCTTTATTTTTGAAAATGTTTTTGTGTCATTATTATTGTTTTCAACGTTATTTCTACACAAGCTGGTAGCAACAGAGCAAACAGATCACCTTTAACAGTAATGAAACAAGTAAATTAATTGTATTCTGAACTTCAAAAGGCAACGGTTTTCGGCCCAGAAAATCGGTTTTCACTGCAGCCGTTTCTTTTATTGAATCCATCATAGAGTCCATAGATAAAGGGGAGAACGTAGTGGGCATATTTATGGATTCAACAAAAGCTTTTGAAAGCGTAAATCATCATCTATTACTTGATAAATTATTGAACTTTGGTGTCAAGGGAGTTGCATACAATTGGTTTAAGTCATACCTTTCCGACCGATATCAGTATGTTGAAATTAACCAAACCATTTCAAATAGGATCACGGGCGCAGCATCGGACTTATGTTTGGTCTCATGTGGCGTCCCACAGGGATCGATTCTGGGTCCTTTGCTGTTCTTATGTTACATAACCGGACTTCCTGAAGTGCTACAGACTGTTCCCCATAGTAATTTATGTTTATATGCAGACGACGCAAAATTAAAAATCTCAGCAAAGAACCAAAATGAAATTGAATATTTAAGTTTTATAGAACTAGCTAATATAAAGCAATACTTCAATAATAATAGTCTTTTGTTAAATCCAAATAAAACTAAATTTATTACATTTTCCACAAAGCAAAATCGTAAAAAAATATCTCCAAATATAATGATTGAAGAGGAAATTATTAAACAAGTGGATGAGGCTAAATTTTTAGGTCTATATATTGATGAAAACTTATGCTGTGACAAACATGTCGAACATATATCGAGAAAAATTAACTCCGGTTTATTCGCCTTAAGGCGTATGGCCAGCCTATGCTCATTGCCTGTACTAAAACAAATATATTTTGCTCTGATTCACTTTAATATTTCTTATGGAATTGGCTTGTATGGTGCAACAACAATAAATAATCTGAATACAATTCTAAACCTACAGAAAAAAGCAATTAGATGTATGCTCAAACTTGAAGATGATGACTCCGCAAGAGAACACTTCAAAAATCTTAAAATTTTAACTGTGTATGGTCTGTATATTTTTGAATGTATCTTATTTTTTATAACAAAAACTTATGTACAACCAATAGGTCATCAATATAATACAAGAAGACAGACCGAAAAACATTTTTAAAAACATAGATTGGAATTTAAAAAAAAAAAGACGACATACATTGGCAATAAATTCTTTAAAGCACTTCCGAATGAACTAAGATCAGAAAAAAATAATAACAAACTAAAATGTAAATTGAAACCTATATTTGATCAACAAACTCATTTACTCAATAGAGGAATTTTATGAATACAACAAAATTATGAAGCAGTAGTGGTACTAGTTTTTTTTTTTTTTTTTTTTTTATTTATAATTGTATTGTTTTTTAGTTTTATATTTGACGCCATTTCTTGTAATGACATGTACAAGGACAAATAAAGTGATTTGATTGATTGATTGATTCATTCATCTTAAATACTATAGGCTAACTGGAACGACGTGCCATTCAGTTTCATACCAATATTTACTAAAAATAAATAAATATTTACCACTAAATGTTCTAATTAATCTAATATTCATGTTTAGGCTATGTTGGTGTAAGGAGTTTAATTTATTTTACTAGTGTACTTGTTGCTTGAATTCGAGCAATTGCTAAGTATTACAGGTGATATTTTAAAACAAATAACAGTCATAATTTCTGATGACTTAAAAGATTATGGAAATATTTAAGGTGTACATAACATATCGATATAATCAACATTTCTTGTAAATATCTTAATATTTTTCAAAAGCTGATCATGTTTTTTAGTGTTTTCTACAAATAGCCTTACTCATAGCCGCATTAGGTTTTCCATAAAAACGATCATAAATTCTAAAAAAAACCTTTCTATTTCTTCTCCTTGGTGGTGTTCTATGACTTTTCTATGTTTCCATAGTTTGCAAATCGGCTCTCTCAATGATTAATAAGAAATGCAGCACAGTGTTAATTCAGTTTTCTTTTTAGTATATCCAGGCTATCTCGCTTTTCTCCAAATTGTAATATTTACGCCAACCCAAATTCAAATAGTAAATACCGTATTTCACTTCAACCAAGTCAGTAAATGTTTGTAGCAAACTGTTAAATTAGCAAACTTTTTGACTGATTACAATTAACATATGTTCTTCTTCTCACTTTTAATTTCTGACAACAGCTGGAGTCTCATAACAATGTTTTTTCCCCATATTAATCTTATCATGGAGAAATATGAAACTTTAAAGGGCCCCAGGGCCTCACTCTCTAATTAATTCCCTAAAAAAAAAAAAATGTTTCCTGCACAACTTTCCGTTACGCTCTTTCCAATAACACAAAAAACATGTCAACCGGTTCATTAGTTTCGGAGGAGTAATTGTCACAAAAAACCTGCTTGCGTATTAAATAAGTACTAGTGGTCGTCCAGTGGTCGAAAACTCGACCAAATATATATATAATGTACCCGCATTGAATATTGGATACTGAAATAGACATTCCATGTATATGTACCAGTTGTCACCATTTTTTATTAAAAACATATAGTTGTGTGAAACAGTCACGGTATGTGTGTCTAAAAATATATTTTCTATAATATTTTTTGTTGCTGACAAAGTTGATGGGTCATAACTGTTATTTGCTATAGCTCTTAATAAGCCATTCCATAAGTTTGACTTGGTAAAAATCTTCGTGTATTCGAGAGGAATTAGTAATTTAGATCAGTGCAATCTGTTGGTGGCCCACATCAACTACGACGAATTTAAAGAAAAAACTGGTGACAACTTTAACATGGGGATGTAATGTAAAGGTACAGGCTTCTCTATTTTCACCAAACGCTGTAAATTAAACATGTGATTCTAATTTATTCCATTTGTTTTGATTTTCTGTTTATATTTTGTTGTTATTTCGTCACCAGCATGGTAACCCATAAAGCACATGCAAATTTTTTTAAATTTCAAATAAATTTTTTGTGCTTATATTTTAGCCTATTTTAATTTTTAAAGAGATTCTGCTCATCTACAGGAAAATATTTTTCTAACAGTATCCGTAGATGTTCCCTGCGATGCACACGAACTGAGAAAAAAGGTTTTAAAGAAACATGCTTGCTTATTAATATATAGATAATAATATAGATTGTTGGTTGTTTATAAAAAATATCTTGTGGGTAAAATTATATATTGGGTTTTAACTAAGATTAGCCTATCAGTCACAATATTTATGTTATGTCATGGTCCGGAGTCAATCTCTTTCAGTTTTTATTACATAATTAACATTTTCTTATTAGGTACCTGCATCTTTTGTAACCTTGACCTTTGTAACCAGCTAAGTAAAAAATTTCGCGTTTAGGTTTCAAAATTCGAGATTTGGTATTCAGTTTTTTAAAGTTTTGGTTTTGGTTTTGTGATTCGAAATTTCTAGTTTTGACTGAAAATGTCATTACTTAGAACACTAGAGAAGCAGGGATTTTAAAAATTTTCTACAAGCACTGTAACAATAAATTAATTGGTCACATAAATTATTCCAATTTAAATATGATTAGCAAGGAATTTACCAATGATCACACCATACAAAAAAATTGAATTTCTAGGTGTAGGCTATGATTCATACATGAAGCCAAGGATTACAAACATACCATGAAACTGAGCAGTCCCGTTAAAATTGTCGACACACTCCAAGCGGGATTCCACGTGTCAGGATGGAAGTCACTTATAGATAAACACAGTCTCGTATTGGTTTTGAATCTAAAAAAAGCAACCAAGTTAGGTTATAACAAAGTAGGCCTAACTTATTACTTTATATCAAGCATGAATATTTGTTTACAGAGTATGCAGGCAGCAAATTGCTAAGAGGTTATGTATGTAAATTCTCATTGTGAATACTACATTTTCATCAATAGAATACTATACTAAAACACATCTAAATATCTATTATACATGTTTTTCGTAGATATTCTTAGCTAAGCAATCACAGGTTGAGATGAATCGGTTAGAAAAATAAGTAATTTGTTATTGTCGGTACCCATTTATCAGCTAAAATTGGCCAGTTTAATTTTTAAAAGTAGAAGCCACATTTTACGTAGAATTTATCATAAAACAGTGATTCCCTAGAGACGATTACCAACCACATTGGGTTTTATAATTCACACACATAATTGCATGACTGGCTGGGTAGCCGAGTGGTTAATGTGGATTGTTAGGCACAGCATTCATTCTACATTCATCTTTCCCTCTGTAGGTTGCGTCTCCATCTCAAATAATTGATAACTGATTTTTTTGGCAGTGAACAAATTTATATTTACACTAATTAGTAACAAAGTACTTGACCACAGTGAGTCAAATAAAATAATTACAGTAGGACAACATTTTACAATACATAAAATTGAACACATTATATTTAACTTCAAAACCCCCAAAAATGGATGAGAATATTCTGAGGCGTCAGTTATGCCCTTGACTATTGATACAATTTTCTATCTCCATGTTTAAGTTGTCACCAGTTTTTTATCAAAATCACCGTAGTTGATGTGAGCCAAGACAGATTGTGCTGATCTAAATTCCTAATTTCGGTCGAATACATGACCATTTTTACCGGGACAAACTAATGGAATGACATTTTGTGAGCTGCTATAGCAACTTTTGACCCATCAATTTGGTAAGCAAGAAAAAATAAGGTAGAAAATATAACTTTAGGCACTAGAGCACATTTTGTGACTGGCTAACACAATTTGGTTTTTTTATAAAAAATTGGCAACAGCTAATCCATATAAGTTTGCTTCAGCATGCAATAGGCCTAGTCAATGGTTGTACTCATAACGGTTATAGGGAGGTTTGCCTACTGGTTTTTATCAATTGTTATCTGTGGTGTAGGCTTAAAAGCTGTTATTTAGTACACTAATAATGTAGTTTGAAGCATGTAGTTTTTTTTTTATCTGTACTTTACAAACATGTATCCAATATCTATCCAGATTACTCTTTCTGTTTTTGTCAAACTCTTTGGATCAAATAATTGATTAGGTCTAAATGATAACTATGACATATCAAAGTTAATGGTTCTTTTACCTTCCATTAGGAGTTATCATATAAATGGAAGGTGGCTTGAATGGGAACTCCCTTGGAAAAACCAGTTTTCCATGATAGAATCCACCCTCATAAGGGGTGTTTTCTGGTCCTAATACCACGTAATGCCTGCAAAAAAAGTTAAAAGTTCAGTATTGGAAAAAACAACCATATAAACAAAACTAGATACTATACAAAATCTCTGTCATCTTGATTCGAAACATACTTTCAAGATTTGGTGGGAGAAAACCCCAAGTAAAATGTTTAAAGCTAAGAACTAAATTTTAGTATCAATCTTAAAAGTTGTATCATGCGCTCATCAAATTGCAAAAAAGTAGATTATTCTATAAACTCAAATTGTGAATGTGACATTCTTTATTTAGCCTAAAATTAATTTTGTACGAAGGCCTGATGAAACTAAAGCACTGTAGCATGGAGAATGATTCAATGCTGAAGAATGTTGGTAGGCCTACTTTTTAAACTGAATCCAGCTCATTGAGATCATTGGGCTTTTAACAAATCATCACGGTTAAAAAAACAGCTGATGTTACTCAGTTTAAGTACTGTCTGTAACAATCATCAATATAGACAGTGAAAATTTGATAGATTCAACACGCTGAGTGTGCGGGGCAGGAAATGTCCTCCCAGGGCTGGATTTAGAATTTTGGTGCCCCTAGGCCCAAATACTTCTTCTGCCCCCTAGTACAGTCACAGTTTCTTTCCTAGAAACCGTTATTAAAAACTATATCATGCCTATAGGCCTATGTTCGTGGGAGTGAGCTGGCGTAGTGGTTAGAGCGCAGGACTTCAGTCCCTGAGGTCTCGGATTAGATCCCCGCCAAGTCACCAATGGATTTTATCTAAGTGATAATGCCGCAACCCCTAGGTCTAGCCTGAAGTAATGTGAAAAACAATCCTAGGCTCGTGCCTAGAGTGCATGAACTCCATAACAGTACGTGATACCATAGATTAAACATACTCCTTTAGTAGATTTGTTATACTTAGGGATTAGCTGAAAACAATTCTTTTTATTTAAGTTATTTAAAACCTAGTTTGTCCAAATAAAGCAATCTAATCATAAACAATAGGTCGCCTCCAGGTTATATTACAGAAATTAAAACACACAACATAGGACTTTCACTATCCCTAAAATAATAGAAACAAAATTACGTTAAAACTAACTTCCAGTTTCACCAACATATGAACTAGACATGAAAAACAATATTTAGACTTGACAATATGATACGAAGTTGACTTGAGTTTATGGTTAATCTATGGTGGTACTGCATCCAGATTATATTTGCAAAGCAAAACAAAGCTATAGTCCGGCCAACCATAATTATCCTCAGGTCTGAGCTGAGTAGGAAATGACACCATTATTGGTGCTTTGGAGGGGATTAATTTTTTTTTAAACCTGTAGCAAACTCAGATAAATATTTTTCAATATTGAATTTTAAAGATAAACTTATCATATTTTTAATATTCAACAAAACGTATTATATATTTTAACTTGACCCTGCAGTTTGTTGTAAACTTATCAAAAGATTAGTTAATAAATTTTCTTTTTGTGAGGTGAGGGTGGTAACGGTGTCTGACAAGCATAGGCGCAGGCCCATAATCACTCCGATCAGTAGCGCCGAGCCAGCATAGTGGCAGTGCAAAGAGTACAGTGGCAATATGATGCATACCGCTCGAGCACTCGACAACATCCCTACAGCCTACTCCCGTATAACTAATGTTCTTTAACAATGTTGTAACGAAATTGATGCGTAACATTGAAAAATAGTTTATATTTTCTAACAGTTATTTCTTCCAATGTTTTTCAAAATTATAATGCTTTATTGGCAAGAACTTTTTTTATCAGCAAAATATGTTAAGCTACGGCTATTTATTTAATTTTATATTTTAAAAAATATTTTTCCTCTCGGCCGTGCGCCCTCTTGCAGCTTGCGCCCATAGGCCCCGTGGGAAATACGGCCCTGTGTCCTTCTCCTCCCATAACAACAACCTTGGTTCAGTGTGAGCTTAGCCTCGCACGGGGAACATTGTGTTTGATTGCCGTGTTTTGTCTACAAGTGTTGCTTCAACTTTTGGCAAGCTTCGTGTCCATGTCGGCCGTTCCAAACTTTATCGGTGCTTCCTGATTGTGTCAACTATATTGTGCAGAGTGTTAAATTAGTTCTCTTTCGTAATATTAATCTTTAAGATATACCGACAGTATTGATTATATTTCCATAAAAAATATATTCCTTATGAATATTATAATCTTTATATAGGCCTAATGGCGGTGGGGGGTTGTAAATATTTTTTTTATAGAAATATTTATTTTGTATGTACTATTGAATGTAAAAAAACTATTTACTGTGTGACTGTGAGCGTTTGGGCCTGAAAACTAGGTAAGGGTTGGAAAAAACCGGCATCAGTACCTAAGGACGGGAATTCCCACCCCAGAAGTAACGTCAACAATATCAAGATCACAGTGTTTACTGACCATTCCAAGATGTTGTTAGGTAGGGGCTCAGCAACCACATACGGCACAGGGTCTCGTTTGAGCCGCATGTAATCCTGCTTCAGGCGGGAAGTAGCACTGTTGTGTTTATTATTTGGCATCCTCTCAAATTGTTTTACAGCCTTGTAGAATCAATGGAATCTAAAAAACAACAATCTAATTTGTAGATTTTGGTGAATAACATCTAGGCACCACTAGAAATAAACAGAATGTGTTTATACTTTTAGCGTTACTTTTATTTCTCGCCTGGCACTCTAAGGGTTAAGTTCAAGTGACAAATCTCACTACATAAGTTAGTTAGTTAAGAGTTAACGATTGTGAACACATAATTAAGAAAACAGTTACCGGTACAGTAAGTTAATTTACGTAGGCTACATTGTTGAAAAACTTACCTGAAAGTAACTCAACAAGTAGGTAGTAAGTTAGGCTCAACAATTAAGTACAAGTTATTCTTGACCATTAACTAAAAATTAGGGTTGGATCTTAAAAGGCCTAGCCTACTTAAATTAGGCTAAGTTATATGGCTTTATTTTACTTTAATCACAGAGAAGTAAGGTACCTAAAGAGGAAACACTCAATGGTACACTAGGCCTAAGTGGTGTCTATAGCACTACGGTAGTCGCTGGTCTCTAGAGCAAAGCCCAACACTGTCCACCTCGCTCTCAAATAGGCTACTACAATGCTCACAGTGGAGGAAAGACCCTGTACCCTGTGCGATAGGAATTTCCATACAGTGCTCTGTGCTTGTCACAAGTATGCCTATAAGTTTTAGTAAATTCCCTGCAAAACATACCACAGCTGGAAGCACATGTTCATCACATCATTAGCGAGTTTTCTCTGTGATAACATACAGGGCCTTTAGGTAGGTAACTTAGGCTAGGCTAGTTATGTTTTGGGTGACTTCATTTGTTTTGAGATATCGTCGACAAGACTTTCATAAGCAGGACTCCAAAAAGCGAATGAAATAATCAAATCAAATTTTCGATAAGTTGGAAACAGTATATTGATATAACATATATCGATTAATTCATTAGGTTAGTAAGGTTATGTTAACCTAACTAACCAAACTTGATATAGCCTACCGGTCCCTAACTTATATTGAATGAAATAGCCTACTGTAATCAATAAGCTACCTACATATCAAAAATTTCATATTTGCATTTGGTATTTTGGTAAGTTGCTGATTTGAAAGTCTATCTATTAACTTACATGGGAGTCAGGCTTTCGGGTACAGTTTGATCTTAACTGGGCTATGCTAATAACTTATTGATTGAAACTATTGATTCGATTAGTAAACCTTCATGCGATTTTTTCACCATCAGCAAGTTTGGTTGGTTATGTTAGGTTATGATAGTTTTATTATATTAATAGATATATTTAAAAATATCGATTATTAGGCTAATCAATATTTTCAATTTGATTGTTTCAATCAACATTAGCATAGCCCAGTTAAGAAACTGTAGGCCTACCCCAAAACGGCATTGATTTAAGTCCATTTAGCCAAGTTAAAAGGGGAGTATTTCATTTGGTCCAAAATCGTTTGGTCCACAAGTTGTAAAACAGTTCGTTTGGTCCAAAATCGTTTGGTCCAACACTTGTAAAACAGTTCGTTTGGTCCAAAATCGTTTTATCATCCAGTTAGGGAGTATTTCATTTGGTCCAAAATCGTTTGGTCCACAAGTTGTAAAACAGTTCGTTTGGTCCAAAATCGTTTGGTCCACAAGTTGTTAAACAGTTCGTTTGGTCCAAAATCGTTTGGTCCACAAGTTGTAAAACAGTTCGTTTGGTCCAAAATCGTTTGGTCCAAAAGTACAGGCAAAACCAGAATTACAATTGTGTATTGTGGAGTAAACTTATGAAATAGACTGTACGTTTCACTGTGGACCATTCGATCGGGTCGTTTTATCCAAAACTCTAATACGAGTTCGTTTGGTCCAAAAGTATGAACTATTGCGTCCCTCACATAGAAGGCGTTCAAATAATCGCCGTCACGTCGTCAACCCAACCGCCTGCCTTCCGAGGCCTATTTGTTGTTTTGTGTTACGTTTCTAAATAATTGATATGTTTGCATTTATATACACGTACATATACATATATTTATTTATATAGCCTATAATGTGTTTGTGTAATGTTTACTTTTTATCCCCAGTCAATCTTAAAACAACGCGTTTTAATTCCCTAGATTTGTGGATAAACATTGACTTTGCTTTGAGTTTGCATTTAATGTTAAACAGATGGTTTATTTAATCTATAATATTAAAACGAAACAGTGTTTTTTTATTTCACGATTCTGAATCAACCACTCGACGGATTTTCATGATTTTTGTGTTGCAAGAAAGATAATTTTGAGAACTAGGGAATGTCGAAGCCATAATTTTAGTTTAGGGTCCCAGTTTTTTAGAAATTAAGTTTTAATTTTTAAAAAGTCTAGCAGCCGACGCTAAGATTCTAAACTAGCTTTTGGCATAAAATAATTTGCTTAACATAACAGCTGTAAACATTCAGCTTTTGTGTCACAAATTCAGCATTTGAAAAAAATGTAAAGACATATTCAGGGTTGACTTATTTATACTATGTGTAATGCTAATCATTGATACGCTCAATTCTTCTTTAAGAGGATGACCTTTCTGTCATGACAGTAAATGGTAAAAAAATGGTGATCACTCTTTGTGAAATTTGTTTTACAGTTAAGGTGTAGTGTTATTAAAAAAAATCCCACTTAAGGCCAATCAAGTGGGCCACGGTCCGTAATATCGTACAAAAGGTAACATGCTACTGCAAAACATCTGTCAAGATATAGGTACTACTGTAATTTAAGGTTTCTGTGTTTGGATGTCATTAGACACGATAAGAGCACACTGAACTTCTTCTGCAGATGAACAATCTGTTGGTTACGAGAAATATAAGCCGAATTAATAAATGCCACAATTCAAGCGCTTTAAATTGACTCTGGCCTGAGAAACTGTTTATAGTATGGAGTTTGGGCCTGTTTTATGTCACCATCTGGGTAAGTAACTTAGAGAGATCAATGATTTTTGTTGCTGAGTAGAGCCAGTAAACATGTACAACACTTCTTTAGTTGAATAACATTCATTGGCTCTATTGTGTATTCTTTCACTAAGCTGAATTAATACATCAAAGTAAACTCTTTAAAAGTCTGTAATAAACTGTAATTTAGGATTAATAACTTTCTATAACTTATTATGCATTTATTCATAAAATTATTAAAAATTTAATCCAGTAACTGAAAACCACTATGATTTAAAAAAAATATATGGGCAACGTGCCTGAATGTTTGTCTTAGACAATTATGCATATCACAAAGAGTAGACCTATAATTGATGTACCTTAATGATATGTCTATGATAAATAAAAGTAGCCTATTTAACATTCATTTTCATAGACTGTAAAAGCCTTCTGCACTTTTATTATTCTGTATCGTATTACATAATGGGAAATTGTCCAATGATTAAATACACATGTATAACAATAATCTCGTGATGATCTGTCAGTCTAGAATAATAAGACAAAATATCGGCAAAAGTAGTCAAAAAGGCAGACACCAACCAGTACAATAGATATAACATAATGCAATAAGAAATGATTGAAAGAGTTACTGTAATATTAAGATTATATAACTGTTCGTAATGGAACGTTATATTGCTAAACATGACATTATACAGAAGAACATCAATTTTAAAATAAGAAAATAAGATCCTTATATATAATTCTGTAAGACAAAATTTTTACCAGGAAATTGTGGACGTCCAGAAAATATGAGTAGGCTAATTAATGTAATTTTCATGTTTTATTTTAACCTTTTGATTATGAAATTATAGACAACCATGATCAATAGTAAACACTCCATTGTAAATAGGTACCGGTACAACAATACAAATTAAGGTGTATGATAAACATTTAAAACACGTTGGTCCACTGAACACTCTGTATATTAGAAGGTCGCCAAATGTGATAAAAACTGTTAATTTATAAGATTTCCAACCGTATGATACACTATTGAGCTTTAAGTTTGTTTATGTACGCTTTAGTGGTTTGAATACAACAAAACATGGCATCTTTAACGTTAAAAACATAGAAAGTCAACATGTTTAAAGCAAAAATTGTATTAATATTATTATTGTATACGACGGCGGATATTTGAACGCCTTCAATGTGAGGGACGCAATAGTTTATACTTTGGACCAAACGAACTCGTATTAATGTGTTGGACCAAACGATTTTGGACCAAACGAACTGTTTTACAACTGTTGGACCAAACGATTTTGGACCAAATGAACGGCAATATAAACGTACAGTATATTTCATAAGTTTACTCTACAATGCAACATTTTACTTCTAGTTTGGCCTGTACTTTTGGACCAAACGATTTTGGACCAAACGAACGTGTTTTTAACTGTTGGACCAAACGATTTTGGACCAAACGAACGAGTTTTTAACTGTTGGACCAAACGATTTTGGACCAAACGAACGGCAATATAAACTGTGGACCAAACGACTTTGGACCAAATGATATTGGATAAAACAATTTTGGACCAAACGAACGAGTTTTTAACTGTTGGACCAAACGATTTTGGACCAAACGAACGGCAATATAAACTGTGGACCAAACGACTTTGGACCATTTGAAGATGATCCGTTAAAAGCACTATCATAGCCTAGGCCTATATACTAAATAACAGATAACATTCTCATCCTTGAAAAATATGCCGTAGGCGGGTAATTTCTTGAAAATTTATGCTTCTAGATTCTTCCTAAATTTGGGTCAGTGTAAAATAAACTTACCTTAGCGATTATTTCAATAGATAATGAATCATTTTTGATGTTTTACATGTTGGTGCTCCCTTTACACACCTAATTGGTCAAACCTTTCTGACACGTAAATTGTTAACACTAATGATTATTAAAAACTAATGTTTGGCCTTGGAAGACGTAGGCTACTCACGGTTTAGGAATTAGAGAGGTTAAGTGTATTCTATGGATTTAAAATGTCAAACAATAGTGTGTTGTGCGTTAACAATCAAAATAAAGTTAAAGCAAACCTAATAATGGGTTATAATGATTATGATAACACTCTAATCCAACAAAACTTCTAAGATTCCAAGAGAACTGCGGAAATGTTGTAGTATAGACAAAATTGCAATGTAGTAAACTCACTTTTTTCTCACTCACCACCAGTCAAGTCACCCACCAGTCGGCGGCAGTCATCAGTCACCACTGGCCACTTAACGATATTTTTCTCATCTTATCTACAGGCAGTCAACGATATACAACCACGGCCACCCAGGACCGCGTTAACTGTCAGTGGAGCCCTGGGCAAACCCAAAAACAAAGCCCCTCCTTTTTTCCTAGTGTGGGCAGGTGGTGGTTGTGGTTGTGGTTGCCCCGAACCTCCGGCGCCCCTGAGAATATGCCCAGTCTGCCCGTTTATAAAAGTGTGCCTGCGGCCACCTTTAACTACAGGCCGCGACCTGGGGCCCATTTCATAATAAGCTACAAGTTACAAGTTACAACTTGTAACTTGTAATTTCCATTAGATTGCATTGGGCGATCAGCTGATTTACTTATAATAATATTAGTTTGTACTTTATTATGAAATGGGCCCCTGGTAGAATTGGCAACGTCGCAAGTATAAGTTGATTAGTGCCATACGTCCCATATAAGATAACATGGCAGGCAGGTGACATAAGCTCATTAATTCGCACTTTATTGATTTAAATTTTGAACATAAATTTATAAAAATATTGAAAATAAAACATACAGAATTTAAAACCAAAACCATATAAGAATTGAAAATATTTATAAGTACATTTTAAGCGGACTCAATATTTTCATAGTCCAGTAACCAGCGCAAGCTTTAGTAAATACACAAATACCGTTTAGCTGCTTCCAAACAAAACAGCTTTTACAACCGTACTTGCAACGTTGCCACTTCGAAGGCCGCGGCCTGGAGTTAAAGGCGGCCATATATACAACACTCTCTTTGACTGACAACTGGCTTGAGGAGGTATGTTTGGGGAGGTTCGGTCAGGGGATGGGGGTGTAAAGTAATCAGAACCACCACATCTCATTTCCAGAATCATTAACAATCCTCAAACGCACAAATTCTAAGTCAATAGCGAAAGTCCAAGAAAGCTACCACATATATAAACACACCCATAGTTCAAATGCAGACACCCTGTTAAACAAAAAAGAAGATTACAACAATTCAATAATTTTCAAACTTATAAACCATCTATAAGATCAATGTGGCAACAGCGCAGGGACTTGGCAACGTCGCAGTCCAAGAAGAGAAAGCTCTAACATCGTAAACTCACCCCCATCCCCTGACCGAACCTCCCCAAACATACCTCCTCAAGCCAGTTGTCAGTCAAATAGTGACACATGTAGTGGCTCCGGTCCGCGCCGTGGTCCGCGCACGCGTTCGCGCGCTGGATTCCTATGACTTTACCGTAAATCGTCATCCGACCGAGAATGTAAATATTTGTAAATAGTGTTTGTGTTAAATAGACTAATGTGACAAACTGTGCTCCTGACGATGCTACACATGTAGCGAAATGTACATCGAGCAAGATATCTACACATTTCAAGAATCTGGCAACCACAAGGTAAACTAGTTTATTAATAATTCGTTCTTGAAGCTGGAATAATACACAACTTATACAATGTTAACATTGTCTCACTCTAATTACTTTGTCTCACTCCAGATTTGCAATGTGAAGGCACGAAAAAGTGAGCGCGTAACATGCAGGCAACGTCGTATGCGCGCGAAATACGTTGGCAGCACTGGCTGTAAATCAGCTGGTCAGCTGTTGTACTGTTGTATTTGTCACTTCACATTAAATGTTATATTAAAAGTTCACTTCTGTGTAAAAATAGGTTATGTTTCTTCACCAATTTATTTGTTTTATGGTAACTGTAGGAAAAGTATAATGTGCAACTCGAGTGCAAAGTACAATTGCCTCACTCGAGAAACCATTCCTCACTCTCCTAGGCTCGTGAGTAAGGTTTTCTCTCGAGTGAGTCAATTGCTCACTTTTCTCACTAGTTGCACAAATAACTATTGAATTAATTTGACCCCTAATTACATGCCTTTGCAAACTTCGATTAGAAGTCTACCTTGATAACAAGCCTTATTTAATAATCCCTATCAGAGTCTTGTAATTAAAGGTTAGCTCATTTTTTAAATTTGATCAAAATACATCCATAAGCGATCAAATTACAACAGTTTTCATTTTCTTGAACAAGCATTATAAGATGAATTTTGAAATTCACTCTCTGTAACCTTTTAGATGAACATTGTACAACATGCACAAAATTATATTGTTTGTTTGAGCTAATTTCCCATAAAAGGGAATAAAGCTATTACCATATCTAGGTCACATGGTAAGACGTGGAACCGGGACTGATTTACTTTTTCGTTTAGATGTCCCCAGAGGCCAAAAACACCCACCGTTCAAATATATATGTGTGTGTGTCCATTTGCATGATTTTGGTGAAATTTGGTACTCAAACGTGTAAACCTACGTTTATTCGAACGAGTTCGCAAACCAGCGTGATCGGGCCATGGGAACTGGGTTTTACCACTGAGCTATAATAATAACTCTATTTCTAATCTATCTAATTATAATATATTTTATCTCAATGGGTTTTACAGGGGATAAAGATTATAGGTAAATTTCATGGGTAAATTTGCTAATACCACACGCGCTCGCGCTGCCACCCACCTAATAAAACAGCTGTAACCATCGATATGTCTATAACCATTGACTATATACCACAATGTTGTGGTATAGTCAAGGAAATGACCTAATGTATGCAGGGTGATGAACTCAAGGACACCACCATTGGGATATAGGAAACGGTAAGAATTGGAGAAGACTTTAAATGGGGGACATTTCTTTATTTTTTGTGGCAGTTACAAATATGATTTTTGTTTTTCATAATTCAGCCGCCATTTCCCAAAATGGTGGCCAACTTTGAAATTTCTTATGGAACAACCTTATGGAACATATTTTGTCATGTTTTCTGACACACACTTTCTCCAATTAGGCCTAGATTGTCAATAACCTTTATCATGGGTAAACGATCAGGGTATACTCATAAAGTATAACTACGATTTAATAGTTAAAATCACAAAAGTTGCCTCAACTTTAGAACCGTAGTTTTTACAGGAATGGGGGTTTGCACTATTTTGTTTAGAATTATAACAACATTACAGACAAATTTCGATCAGAATTGGTTTTTTCCATTTTTCCGGGGTTTTTATGGAAAAATAACATACCGGCCGGTAAGTTGCAATAGCTTTTGGAACGTATTTTTTACATGAATGCATTATGTTATTATATGCTGCACTGTTAAGAATTATAACGATTATCACCTACTAATTTCAATAAAAAACCTGGTTTTTTCGAAAATACGATTATCTGTCATTTTATGGGTTTTTATGGGAAAATATCATAATTTAGATAACTTTTGAACGGTAATTTGAATTAAAAGGGCTACAACAAACTAATTTTTTTAACCATTTGGGCCATTTTCGAAAAAGTCCGATGTTTTGGTTATTTTATGATAAAATCAACATATTATAAATAAAAATTGCAAAAGAAAAAAACTGCCTGGTTAAACCATGAATTAGTACCTACATAAGAAAAATGTAATTAAAATCGGACCACAGGTGTATTCTGTAGCTCTGTACACATCCACAAATACAGACACAAACACAGAGACATCACTTTGAAAACCGCTTACCAGGGGGCCTAAAATGGAAATATCCACTCAAAATTTAAACTCGAAAATGTTGACGAAAACAACACTTTCTCCATATACTATGGTAAAGGGGGAGAAAGAAAAAATACACAAATACCATTATAGCTGCCTCCAAACAAAACAGCTGTTACAACCCTACTTGCGATGTTGCCACTTCGACGTCCGCGGCCTGGAGTCAAAGATGGCCGTGGTAATTACATTAAAACCGCCTTGATATAATAGGTACATACGAATAAAGGTATATAATGAATGGTATCTCGAATGTTTTTACCGATGTATTAAATAAAAGGTATTTCTCAATAAACCGTTCCATTATAGTAAGATTAGACCTTAACTTGTGAGAGTTTAATAACATAAATAAGTTTAGCATGTTTATCCTATCACGGCCACCTTTAACTCCAGGCCATAACGGCCTTCGAAGTGGCAACATCACAGAGCTATAGCTCAGTGGGCAACATCGCAAGTAGGTTGTAACAGCTGTTTTGTTCGGAGGCATCCACGAGGCATCTAATGGTATTCGTGTACTTTTTTTTAGGAATACGAAAGCTTGGTTATTGGCTACTGCATGGGTAATGAAAGTATTGACCCCACTTTCAAAGTACAAAAATTGATTTTAAATTTAAATATTGTTTTGGTTTTCGATTCTATGTTTTATTTTAAATTTATGTTCATCAATTTAAGTTTAAATGAATAATACGCGAATTAATGAGCCGGTGTCACCTGTGTGCCACGTTATCTTATGGGACTTCTGGTGCTAGACAACACTACCACACTACTTGCAACGTTGCCATTCTACCAGGCCGCGGCCTGGAATTGTTGGCCGTGATCCTATAGTTTATTTATAATATAGAATCTATCATTGTGTACGGAATTCCGTAGTTTATCTTTATTCTATAACCGTTGCCTATGCCTACTATTATCTAAGTAGCTTTTTCAGTTTCAGCTAATAGTCTGTAGATTTACTTTTTAACTTCAACAGCTGTTGAACTGGATGCTGACTGCTGGGTGCTGAACTGCTGATTTCGAAATAATCGAAATGTCTGCTCCTGCTGGCTGCTGCTCCATTTCCATTGTGCATTTTTATTTTTAATTTCATTGTTCATCAACCGTGTTGACAAGGTGAAGTGGTTTGACATCCGTGATATCGTTTTTGACTCTGGTATTTTAGTTTGTATATTCATGAATATATTTTAATTTAATTTTTAAAAATACAATCTGGCTTATTTTAAGTTGAGTTTATTCAAAACTACTGCCCTAAGGGCACAACACTTTGAAGGGAAGGAGATGTCTCTTAGGATTTTCATCACTAGGTTTGTTCAACATGGTAGAATCCTTTTCCGAAGTTTCAGGCCACACCAAGAAGTGGTGGGCTTCGGAAAAGCCAACATATTACCTCAAGGAGCAAAATTTGAGGCGATCAAAGCTAATGCGCACCCACCATCCTCAGGAGTTCTAGGTCTACCTTCCCATCTCAGTTCTGCTCGCAAGCTTTTTGTTGACAACGTTCTTAAAAGAGTTACAAATTCGTTGGCCACCGAATTAAGAAGAAAGACTACAAATCAGTTGCTAAGTGGGAACTCAACTCCATTTTTCGCTCTTATAGGAGTCAGTCTTGCTTCAGGAACAGGTATTCTTACCAAGGAAGATGAGCTGGATGGTGTTTGTTGGGAGATCAGGGTAAGTAAACTTTGACTAGCTTTGCCATACGTAGCTTTGCCTAGGCCTACGCAAACAATACCTGTTCTCAATATTAGCCTAATAAGGACAATGCTTATAACTTACAGAACCTCGAATTGATAGTTAAGGAAGATAAAAATATTGGCATAGCCTAAATAGGTACTGGTACAAATCAAATAGGTTTCAGTTTTGGCACCTCATTTTTTACGAATCAAGCACTGGGTACGGTAAGACGACATTGCAGCATATCAAGGTGTAGGGCTGGCATAAGTTAGTGCCATAGTGGTAATAAGCTTCTCGTCTGTCAAACAGGCGGACATTCTCTTTAAGGTGTAGGCTAAATATGCCAAACACATAACTTACTGACTAAAAATGTTAAATGCCAGTGAGGTCTTTAAAAAAAGGGCCTACACCTGGTTAAGTGTAATTAGCTGATTTTATGATTGTAACAGATTTTTCTGGAGAAATAAGTTGCGCTGTACTGCTGACGAGTGACCCTAAAGTAGCCTACCAAGCCGTAGGCCTACATAAGTTTAGAGGCTGTGAAATAAAGCATGATACGCAGTTATCAAGTCCAGCCTACCTATTGTTTCGGGATGATGTTCCGAAGTTTCCTTAGTAGACAAATTTCCTGGATAGCCGTGCATATACCCTAGATCAATCTGAAAGTTCCAGCTCAGTTTGGGATCAAAACAGACCCCTAGAAGTTTCACCGCCTCATCCCTTTTTTTAAACTATGTGAACCTTATTATCTAGGTACCGTAACTAAAACTGTATTTTTCTTACAGGAAGCAGTTAATAAGATGCACAAAAATATGTTCCAAGCTGAGACCGAAATGTTTGATCAAAACACTGCAAATTTTGAGAAATTGGAAATAGGGCCAAAGATAGCGAAGGGAAGCAACGCTGTTGTATACGCTGCACGATTAAAGGATAATCCAAGTAAGCATTTCACTTTGTCTAATGTAGGCCAAAACTTAGGCTATGATATAGGCCTAAGTTACTAAAATACTCTTTGGATCTAGAGCTATAGGCTAACCAGGTAAATGGAAATTCGCTTAGTCTGCAGGTGTTCTGCGGCGGGGGCATTTTATATTTTTCTTCTGTTTCTTGTCCCATGTATGCCATATCATTATGTAAAACAAAAAAAAAACTGGGGATTGCTATTGGGATAGGCCTAAATAACTAGTAAAACTAAACACTCATACTTGTTTGTAGATACCGAAACATTTCATGTTAGTGAGCCGGTTGCTGCTTTTCCATATGCTGTCAAGATGATGTTTAACTATGATGCCGAATCAAACGCTTCATCAATACTTCGATCGATGTATTGCGAGACAGTACCTGCCAGAGTTCACTTTTCTACCCCAGAACTAGTAGAGTGGGAAAAGAAGTAAGTAGTAATACCATAGACTAAGCAACACAAGTAGACGCCTCATCCCATTGTAAATTTTGAAGCTAGTTTTTTATGTCTAGTTCATGTACGTCCACACCGATCGCTGGGGTAGACAAAATATTGTTACAATCATTTTAGGGTTATTTTGATGATTTGTGCTTTACTATTTGGTTATATAACTAGGAGACCAATTATTGTTTACGATTATATCGTTTTATTTGGTTAAATGAGGTTTTAGTTTTAAATGACTGAAATAACAAGAAACAAATTGTAAACAAAACACAACCTCTACAGTTGGACGTACAGAAATAACAATAAAATTGGCTTCAGCTGTTCCATTAGGATGACAAATCTACTAAGGGAGTATGTTTTATCTATGGTAATACTTTGAATGCACTTAAGTTATCAGCTGGTAACGGATAATTCAAATCAAATCAAATCAAAATATACTTTATTTCCAAAAATATTCAACAGAATAAAATATAAACATAAACTTCCAGTGAAACAGACACCTTACTTGCTATTACATAGATAAAATAAATAATTATAAAAATACATGTATAAACTTAATAATAATAATAATGACAAAGGATGGAAGGTTTCTGAGAAAGCTATGTTAAATATAGTCATTTAGGAAATACGCCTACATGGGCTGGAAGTCTGTGCGTAGGCTCAGTCGCTATCAGTGAATTACGTAGGCTATTTGTTGGAAAACAATAATATTCCTAAATTTAGAAAATCTTAAACAAATCAAAGAAATTTAATATATTTGTAATGTTTTTCTGAGGCTAAATTAGTGAAATGAGCAATTTGAGGAATGAGGCAAGGTGGAGGGCATAGACATAAATATAGTTAAGAATGTTAGATGTTAGTAATTCAGTAATAATTACGAGAGAATAAAGTAGGGTCAAGTCTGCCTGTACTCTGCTTTGATTATGAGTTCTGATTCATCTACACCCCACTCTATCAGACAGCCAGTGATGCATTATTTGAAAATAGTAATCGATGGTGAATGAAACAAATGATAAGAATTACAACGGGAGATAACATTACGATATAAACTTTCAGAAATGTAAGAGGAATTTTGTATAGTTTTCAGGTAATTTGTTGATCTCCCAACATCCACAGGGAACTCAAACATAACCTAAAAATTGAACTAAACGTTTTGCTGCCAACAGTTGCAGGAAGGTTTATTTACATATTTTGAAAGTGGCAGATAGTTCTAGTGAAATATAGGACCTGGAAATAAGGGCTCAAACGGTTTATAATATTCTTTTCATCACTCAGTAACGAAAGTAACTATTTAAGTAAAGGACTGTTCACACCGGCGTAGCCAGACGTATTAATACTTTTTCGAAATACGTAGCTGACGTAGCTCTAAATGTATTTCATAGAGGGTGTTCACACCGGCGTATTAATACGTGAGCTACGGAAGCTACGGCGCTGCCGCTACGCCGGCTAGCTACGCGTAGCTCGCATCGCCGAATACGCGCATGCGCACTAGCACACCGGGCTGTCACCGCCACCCTCCCTACACCTCATAATTAATTTATTAGTGGTAAATGTTGGACTATAACATAAAATTTCACTTAAAACTATTAAATCACATTAATCTATAACATGGTTTATTATGGTTCATATAGTGGGCTGACATTTATGAAACATTAATTAATTATATAATATATATATAATAATATATTATATTATAATTAATTATATCTAGACATAGGTCTTACTTACACCATAGACTATTTTATAATGTAATCCTTATGGATGAGCAAAATTATTGCATGTTTTCTGGTAATATTTTTTAATATTATAATATAGCGCAAATCTTATAGCCAACTATATACGGCCTAAAATTAGAGTGAAATATTTTTGTCAATTCAGGGTACTATAAAAGCTGCAATTTAACCTTGGCAATCTTAACTGAAATTCATGAATTACGAATAAAAATAAACAATAAACTAACAAATATAAAATAATATAATGAAATAAACAAACAACAGCCGGCTCGCCGGCTACGTAGCCGTCAAACGATGCTGCGGTGTGAACAGTGCACTGGCGACGTATTAATACACCGAATACGTCTACAGACGTCTTGCTACGCCGGTGTGAACAGGCCTTAACAGCTGACATCAATGAAAGTAGTCATTTCCCAAGCTCTAATTTAGGGCGAGGGAAAATCGATCAGCTGATTTTCCCTCGCTCTAAATTTACTTTCCTTCACTCTCAATTAGTTCTCCATTTATTCACTATGTGCGCTAGTGTTTTGTTACGGTTGAATTTAATGATTTGAATCAGCTGTGTGTATGGTTGAAATGTGTTTTATTCTTTTATTTCGATGTTTAAACAAAATTTATTGAAAAATATACGTAGGCTACCTTTAGAATATTTTCTCCTTTTTTTTGTTTTAAAAATTAATCAAAAATAAACCTAGGTTTCCTTTTAAAAAAAAAAATTTTTATGTTCGATCTAATTAATTGAGAAATAAGTTAAAACAGTTGCAATATTACTGAGGTCTGCTATTCTGTGTTTGTGTATTTTTGCGTCATGATGAAAAGTAGCCTATCGTTCATAACTCGTACCGAAAGTTATTATCCGGCACTTGCTCCATTATTCCCGTCCTCGGCTTCGCCTCGTATGTGAAAATAACTCTCACATACTCGGCTTCGCCTCACACAAAAACTCGAGCGCGCCCCGGAAAATGCCACTTTCGGTCCTAGTTATGAAATATACTATTTAGGCTACCATCTAAATAAAAGAAACATTAAGTTATGGAAAAATGATTATCTTTCACTGATAGGCCTATAATGATAACTTAAGAGATACTTTAATTATATTTGTTTTGATTTAAATGTTGTAGGTAAGTTATGTTGTGTTCAATGTTGTGATTAAAATGTTTTGAACACATATTCAGTATTGCAAAAAAAAATATTTATAATGTTTGTCTACTTATACCTGACACAATTATGGTAATAATGCTGCTAGCAATACCTAATTTCTGATTAAAAGTAAAAGAAAGAAATAAGTAGCCTATAATAATTAAGTTTTACAAACATAATTAATTAACAAACGATCGTAGGTAAAGTAGTGTAAGCCACTCACTCAATTAGTCATCACACGATTGTTGCATAAACTACTATAATATCTTAAATAGAAAATGTCCCATAATAATCCCTAAAACAATAGATTAAAAGCTATATAATTTTAAAAGACATTCAGACAACTGATAGTAGGGTACACTATTTCATTTGAAGTGTGTAGGCCTAGTTTACTTATCCTGTTGATTGTACAGCATGGAGGAGCACATGGTTGCGCTGCCACCCCACCCCAACATTGTGGCTATGCACTGTGTGTTTGCGGACTGGGTGCCGTCCATTCCCGGAGCTCTGTCTGACTATCCAGACGCTCTCCCCTCGAGACTCAACCCCGAAGGCTCTGGGCGCAACATGAGCCTTTTCCTCCTCATGAAGAGGTCAGTAATTTGTTAAGTGTATGGAATAAAAATTATTTATTCCATTGATCTTTTCACAAATAAATAGGGCACGTCATATACATTACAAAATAATCATCTTAATATATCTAATGTACAACCTTATAGTTGTGTACAGCCTACTAAGACAGTTAAGGTTATGTGGATTCCATTGACTTTTGATGTAATTTAAATATTTAAACAGTTTTACCTCGTCTCACAGTTCCAAAAACTCACAATGAAATTATAGGAATCATTGAATCTTGACAAGTTTTGTGTGGCATTAAAAATATGCAGTGTCGTGTCAATGTGAAAATATGTTCATACAATTTTCACTGTTCCAATTTTACTTGTAAATTAATTTGGGACACACAATTCAAAAATAAATTTTATAGAACAAAAGAGACAATATATTAGAAAATTATAAACAATATAGAAATAAGCCAAGAACTGTTGTCAATAGGGTCTGGGACATTTTTTTCCTTGTACTGGAAAGTATCTGTCACTTGAATCAGCAGCTGGTCGAATGTTGCTTGAATAGTGAACAATAACCAAACCGAATGCAATATAATTAGCCTCATCTATACCTAATACACTTTAACCTAACTAAACATCTCATCCTTTTGATATTGCATGATGGTGTGGCCTCTGGATCGTCTGAATTAACGTATAGTGGTTTAAATTACCTTGTTCTGTCCAAAACGATCCTATGTAGTTCGTAGTGACTACAGCTGTTTTGTGCTGCAGGAGCACATCTTCAGGTCGGGAGAATGTCAAGCAGTCATTAGATATTCCTCATGATGGAGTTCGTCAAAAGTTTATAGTAGTAAATAAATAACATAGATACGACATAAAAACATAAAAACACGAAACTGAACATTTAACACTGGTCGACCAGATGGTAAACGTACCAGGTGGTTTCGTTACCACCTGGTCGACCAGTGTTAAATGTTCAGTTTCGTGTTTTTATGTCGTGTCTATGTTATTTATTTACTACTATAAACTTTTGACGAACTCCATCATGAGGAATATCTAATGACTGCTTGACATTCTCCCGACCTGAAGATGTGCTCCTGCAGCACGACAACAGCTGTAGTCACTACGAACTACATAGGATCGTTTTGGACAGAACAAGATAATTTAAACCACTATACGCTTTTGATATTGGCCTAATGGTAGTCCTATGTACTTGCCATAGGGAAGTTAATTAATACTTAGGGCTCCTTGTTACTGTAAGAGTTTTATTTTCCAGGTACGACTGCAGTTTGAAAGATTACATAGCCGAGAAGAAGCCAGAAATACGAGATGCCATTTTACTATTCACCCAACTTCTCGAGGCAGTGGCACACATGAACAAGTTTGGAATCGCTCACCGGTAAGCTTTATCAGTGCTATGATAACTTGTAAGGCTGTGACACAACTAATTGGGTGAGCGCAGGACCTGTTTAGAAGTTTGGTTTTACATGGAAGAGTAGGCCTACCATCAACCTATATAATAATTTAAGAGGTATTTTAAATTTTTATTTTTATTTAATGACAGAAAAGCTTTAGCAAAGATGAACAAGTTAGCTTTAATGTTATAGAAATCTAAAAACTGTTCAATCTATTCAGTGACCTGAAGAGTGACAACGTACTGTTGGACCTGTCCGAGGCAGCTTGTCCCATGTTGGCTGTGACGGACTTCGGCTGTTGTTTGGCTGACAAAAGCGTCGGGCTGTCCATGCCATTCCGCACTCTGGACACCAACCGAGGCGGCAACGCAGCCCTTATGGCCCCTGAGGTTAGTGTAATTTAGGCCTAGATTGACCTGATTGATTGATAGATATGCAGGGCAAGGAGCTGAACAATACTGTGGTTCTACTTTTTTTTATAACATATAACATATCCTTGTCAAATTAAGTTTATAGCTCAGTTTGTTGTGCAATGAACTTTGGCTTCTGGATAAGCAATGGAGGTTCAGAATCCCAAGCATTATGTATAGTATAAATACTGGAGGTTTTTTTTTAAATTTTGGTACAAACAAAGTTCAATTTCATATCAATTTTTGAGCCGAGCCAAGCCTAGACTACAAGCTAGCGGGATCGAGTAGAAAGTTAGGAAATCTTGCTCGAGCTGAGCTTGTCTGCGAAGATAAAAAAAATTCCCACTATAGCTGTCATTGCAGATGATGACAGTAATGTTTCCGGGAGACAAAGGTGATGTTCTAGTGAACAGATATTCAATGTTTTTACCCGGGGAGACAATTTTGATGTCTTCAAGACCGCAAGGGATATCCAGGATTTTGCTCCGTTTACTCTGCACGATTAAATGGTGTTTCGGGAGATGTTTGATATTCTTCCATGATCACAAGTGGTGATGGTGGTGTCACATTCAATATTTTGCCGTGGAAGTGGGAGATTATGGTTATGTCTACATGACCATGGAAGTTGTCCAGGATTTTATCTCGATTGCAGAATACGATTATGACGTATTGGTGACATCCCAAGATGTTTAATATTTTAAGCAATTATGAGAGACATTAACGACCTCTACACGATAGCGGGAGATGTCCAAGATTTTGCTTGGTTTGAGAGAAAGATGATGATAAAGTCTGTACGACTGCAGGAGATATTCGTGATTTCTCATCGATCGAGGTAGACAATGATGATGTTTACGTTAAGACAGGTGATACTCAGGATTTTGCTGTAATCTTGGAAATCAATGATGATTTCTACACAACTGCTGGGATGTTCTTGAGTTTGCCGTGACTGTTTAAATTACATTTAACAAATTAAATGAAATACGTTCTCTTTTATCATCCTCTTACAGGTTGCCTCAGCTACTCCGGGACTATTCTCATACATAGACTACTCCAAGTCAGATGCATGGACGGTCGGTACCATCGCCTATGAGCTGCTCTCCGACGAGGGTAACCCATTCTATCGTGGTGCTGGAGGACGAGGACTGCGGAACACCTCTTACGAGGAGGCAGACTTGCCGCAGCTGGGGGAGGAGGTACCTGCGTTGATTGTAAGGCTTGTGCGCAGTCTGTTGGCACGGAACCCTAACCAGGTAAAGTACATTTTTTATGTGAAATAGGCTTATTGTGTCTACGAGTAGTGATATCGCAAAGGGAGTGGGTTGGGTAGTACAAAAATCACATAGCTAAAGCCAAAGATTGTATTCAATCTTGACTGTGTTTCCTAAATGTTTATTATTTCTTGTCCTTTCACTGCATGGAAATGATCACATTACCACACCTGTAAGCACAGTAAGCAAAATAGCTCATTTCCGCAATCAAATTTTTGCTCTTTTTTCGCGAGTGGGAATGAATAGTCGCTTTCACTAAATCGCTAATTCACCTGATATGGTGTTTCTAAAACACTAACATCCAGTTGGCAAATAACATAGCCTAAAAAAAGCAAACTTAACCTAAATTACATTTTTAATATTCAAATGGCTATTGTTCTTGTTATGGTAGGCACATAGGGCCTACGTATATATACATAGCCCAAAAATTGGATATTAGTCATAAATGTTTGATGTTTTAAATTACTGAAGTTTAACACAATCTTCAACATTCTTGTGTGTGTCTTCACAGAGGCCTAGTGCTGAGGTAGCGGCTACTGTATGTCAACTGTTCTTGTGGGCTCCGACCTCGTGGCTAGGACCACTACAGAACAACGTCCTTCCCAGCAGCAGTGAGGTAGGGAACAGTGCAAACTAAACCTAGCATGTCACTTATTATGTTTGCAATACAAAACTAGATTTTTAAAACAAATTTTAACTCTTTCGATGCTAGAATATTTTTTTGTAATTTTCCGAAAAATGCTACTAGAGTCCAAAATAATTTTGTCCAAAAAATGCTAGGCTTACCAAGGGGAGAAATCTAGTGTGCGAGAAAAAAAATTAAAAAAAAAAACTGTTCATCACTTTAGTGGTAAGGAACGATATATTGGGCCTGAATCGTATGAGGAATTGAAAGAAACCATCGCTGTTTCGAAACAACAACCGAGTCAACCAATATGCCTATTTAAATTCACACGATTAAAAGTCGCGCCGACACGATATACCATCGCTTAGCGCTTTTAGGATGAAACGCGAACAACCATATATCGTTCTATAGCCTAGCTCTTTTCGAGAAAAAGACGCACAATGATATATTTGTGCAGTTTTTAGTTGACTTGATAGATGGACCTAACACTTGGTGGGAGCGACAGACCAAATACTCTCAGAATATACTGTTAAAAACATGCCTTTGGTGAACCAAATTGCCAACATTTGAATCCAAGATTACCAGACAGGAAACTGCACTCTAACCAATAGACCAGCTGACTATAATTTTATTTCATTAAATTTAATCCCTACCCCAAAATTTACATCATAACTTAATAATTAAAGACCCCAGGTATAGGAGTTGTAAGTAATTTTAAGGCATTTGCTGTAACAAAGGTATACAAGTATAAGTTAGCTCTATTCCAAATATAATTTTCAAATCATGAAAGATAAATTTGCAGTAGATTTTAATACTTAACTGATGGCCTAAACATACAGCATATTCTGAACATTTAGCGCATAGGCATTTGCACATCAGCTGTACCCCATTTTGCCAAGTACAACAAAGTTGAATCACTTGAATCATAAACTCATAGAGTGATCTACTGTCAATATTCTATTTTATCCATTTGTTTCGGATGCTATGATCATTGAACGGGGTTGAAAGATGTTTTAGTTGACAGTAAGTCAAACTTTCAATACTACTAGGTGAAACCCGTCGAAATCGACGGTTACTTTCAAGGCTTACGTTAATTCATCCAACTGCGATAAATTGGGTGAAATATTCATATTATGAGCATTTAGCATTGTTTAAGAGTAAAAAGTGTAAAAACAATAATAATATTAATTGCGTTAGTTGTTAAATTTGGTTGATCATTCAATGAATAAGATATTCCCCATACCCAACGTCATAGGAGTTGTTATTAGTATGTTATACGGCATCTCTTCCTTTGGAAGAACCTTTAAATAGTATTAAACTCGTAATGGTGGATCTTTTGTAGTTAAACACGTCCGTGATTTCCTCAGTGTAATATGATTTTATTTCAAAAGATAATATTTTTTGGGAAGACATATTCTAACTTCAAAGGGAGGTCTATCCGTTACAGTGTGAGTTTGATTTTTCCTTCGTCACGTCACGTCAGTTTATACCGTACTTCTGTCACAGAAAACATACTATTCTGTGCCAATGAGTATTAAAATCGTATTGGTAGATCTTTTGTAGTTAAACACTTCCGTGATTTCCTCAGTGTAATATGATTTTATTTCAAAAGAAAATATTTTTTGGGAGGACATATTCTAACTTCAAAGGGAGGTCTATCCGCTACAGTGTAAGTTTGATTTTTCCTTCGTCACGTCGCCTCAGTTCATACAGTACTTCTGTGCCAATGAGTGAACATAGTTTTGTGAAATTTATTGTGGTGTTACTGTTGAAGCTGGAATTCTTTGACATGGGGGATGTCAGTTAGTTGTCTCAGCCTTATCAATAACATAAAGTTGTCAATATAATCTCTCTACGGAATGTTAGGTGTAGCGGAATACTTGAAGTGAAGTTGGCTTTTATTCTTGAACGGTTTTAGGGGCCTCCTAGTTCATAAGGTCTTGCGGCTTCATTGGCAACAAGTAATGCAAATGACATAGCAATGGGACATTTCCAAAAAGAAAAAATACTGTAAATTGGCTGTTACGTATATATTGACGTTTGCATATTGTTAATCAACGTATCTTATAAAGGATTATGTGATCTAGTTTAAAATGAATATGACCTTTCTGTCATGACAGTAGCTGCTTAAATAGTATTTTCTCTGTGTACCATATTTTACAGCCAAAATGTCGTGTTATTTTCAATAATGTTACCAAACCATTGCGCCAAAGTGCACGGGCAGGTGCAAATAATTTGTTAAGATGGATACCATTTTAGGCAAGGTTTCTATGTTTGGATTTTAGACACGATAAGAGCAGATATTTCTAGGCTATATAAATATTTTATATGTGTAGAATAATATGATAAAATGTAGGCAAAAGTAGTGAAAAAGGCAGACACCAACCCGTACAATAAATATAAGATAGTTCAATAAGAAATCATTTAAGAATTGCTGTGATAAAAGGATTTTCCACTGATTTCGTAATGGAACGTTATATTGCAAAACATGACATGAGAAAGAAGAAAATAAATTTTAAAATCAGAAAATAACATTGCAAATACTTATTTTGTAGAATTCAGTAACTCCCAATAATAAATGTGTGTTGTTTGAAATACAATTTAAAAATGAACAACTGTTTCATTATAAAGTATTATTCACATGGCCAAAATGTAAACAACTCTGTGGAGGGATCTTTAAAGGCTTCTAGGGCAGAGTCCTAAGGGATTTTGCTTAGTTTTTCTTTTGATAAGTCATCTACAGACCAAGACCTTTCTTTGGACACCTCTACCAAGTTTCTACCCCCAGCCGTTCTCTCAAATTAGTGGGGACAAAGTTTCCAATTAAATATTTAGATTCCCCCATGTTAATCTTATGGGAGAAACCCCAACTTTGATGGACTGTGGGGCAAAGCCCGAGGATTTTTATTACAGGAATTGGTGAAAGGGGGCGTCTACACAAAAAATACTTTTTCCTACAGTCACCCGACAAAGTTGGCTTCCTTGTACTGTTTATAGTACAGATAGCTGCTAATTGCTGCATATTTATACTTTGCCGTACGGTTTATACTTTGCCGTACGGTTTATACTTTGCCGCACATCAGGATTCCAACGAAACAACACAAAACAGTGTGGTTCCATTATGCACGTAATCCGTGTACGCTTGGAAATAGGTTGGCAACACTTAAAGATAATTATGAGCAGCTGATTGACTATTATAACTACGAGTTAACCTGTCATTTCGTGTTTATAGTTTCGGTATTTCTGAACTTTCTGGACTTTTCTTTTGAACGTTTTTAAACCCTTCCTACGATCTTAATAAACAAGAAAATACCTTTTAAGCATTTTTTTAGGTGCGGAAACCACTTCAAATTACAAAAACATACGGAACTATATTCTCAAAACACGGAGCACATTTCTTGCCGAGGAAAAATAGTGGAGTGATATGGACCGCGGGTACTACTTTCTCTAGGGCACCATTTGTGTTGCCAGCTGAACCTAAAAACGTGTTGCATAGTGTTTGAAAGACTAATTATTTATATGCTTTATAGTGACTATAGGAAAAATATAATGTGTAACACGAGTGAAAAAGGCCTTTGCTGCACTCGAGATCATTCCACACTCGCCTGCGGCTCGTGCGTAAACATTGCTCTCGTGTGCAGCAAAATGCCACTTTCACCACTAGTTACACAAATAACTATATTTTGACACGTCGTTTGTAAAAATCCGTCCATTATTAACGGAGGAGTAGTGTTTTGTAGAAATCGCCTTCACGTATTATATATAAGGATTTGGTTAGAAAGTTTATGTATTTGACAGAAAAAAACAATTAACATCAACACTCTTTGTCCATGGCTTAAATAAACTATTTTAGTCTTCATCCAAAACTGGATACAGGCTTAACATGGAGGATGTCCACTTGTACCGATAGTCAAAGACATAGACTACTCGACTCTCTCAACATCTGTTTTAACGTGTTTCTCCACCAGATCCTACAGTGGCTACTGTGTCTGACGACCAAGGTGTTGTGTGAGAACCGCACCTACGCCTCGGCCGGCTCTCGCCGCACGGCCACTGAGTATCAGCTGATCGCTTGCTTCCTCCATCGTGCCAAGCTCTCAGTCATTAGACAGGCCTTGTCCTGGATACATCAGCTGTGAACGCTCCAACTGTAGCTGTCGTCTGTTTTGTTTTATTTATTTTATATCCATTTTAATCCAACCTGCGCTTAAGGTGTTACTAGATCCCCGAGTCCTTGGCAGCACTTTGTGAATTTGTCGCTGAAAGGATAAAGGAACGCCCTTATTGAGGAGATTTTTTTCCTATTTATTTGTTAAAGCTGTTGTTCCGTATTTTAAAGGAGAAAGATTGTCAATGTTTTTATTTAAGTGTAATTTATGCAAAGTTGGAGTTTTTTAATAAAAAAAATGTTTTTCTCAAAGTACATCACAGTTTTTGTTTGAGTCAAACTATTACCAAGGGGTGAACACATGCAGTTTAAATTTACATCCAACTGTGTTAGAATATTGGAGAATATTTCAACACATGTTAGTTCCGACGGTAACACTAAAGCTTTGTATCTTATCTTGTGTTTGAAATGTACTTATTATTGTGTTAGAACATATTTTATTTATTCTTGAAACCTTTGTGATATGCTTGTGATTCTTAATCATTATTTTTTTCCTCACTCAATATATGGAGCATAATCAAATACATAGCGCTTGCTTAAAATATATTGCGGTGCATATGGTTTATTCATTGTAAATTCAAGTTCGCACTTGTAAGAAGAAGCAGGTTTTGATAAGACTGTTGATTTGCTTGACTAAAAGTCTTGTATATGTTGTACAGCACGGTTTGTATAGAACGGAAGAACTGAATAAATAGTTTTATTTTTTGCTAGTTTGAAGTGTTCTTTTATTTACCCATAAACGTTTAGCTTCCTTAACTTGTTTACTGCTAGGATGTAAAGGCAGTGGTTGGCAGCTTCCACTCTCCCATCCACATAAGCCCTGGGTCTATGCACGTGAGGTATCCAGCATTGCAAGGGGTGAACTGGCACAGTATGAGAGTTGAACTGTTGCTGACAGAATGGAGTAGCAGGTACCAGGATCTTAACCCACAGCGATATGGCTGGCATGGTTCAAAGTCGGTAGTTTTAAACATTTTTTTCAGGGATGAAATGGGTATGAATGGAGGTTTTAAAGTCTATTGAAAGTAGAATTAGTGTATGTAATTCGAGATACAAAAGGCATAATATCCAAGGAATGAAATTAGTTCGAGCCATTGGCAAACTATATTTAGGATAAGTTTAGGTGGCATTATATTGATTCTAAACTTGTATCTGCTCTTAACAGCCAAGATTCTTAAAACTGGAATAGTTATCAGAAAACCTACTGTCTTATCGTTGTGGTTACTGCAGTGCTGAAATGTTATCTTGTTCTGGCTCACCACTTTTTTTTCATCATTAAACCATGAGGCAGGTTGTCCAAGTAAAAAAGTATGTTTTGTTGTAATGTAATGCAAAATTATTGTATGAACAACACACAACTGTTTTTATTTGGTTCTTTTAATTTACGGAAGCTATAGTATAACACATATACCATAGCAATAATGTTCTACCATTACACCTAAACAATAAAAAAGTAAATTATCGAATATCCGCACAATATGAAAACATTATTTATAAATTAAAAACATAAAGTTAACTGTAAGCAATCCCACTTTAACAGTTCTCATTGTGCATCACAGCCTTTTGTTGCGGCTTGGTTCAAATTAGCTATGTTGTCATGAACGAAAAATCAAATAATAGTGCTGCACCCTGTCGGTGAACCTTATGACTTTTAACACTATTCGTGCTGTCGACATGTTTGAACATAAAAGTTGCATTTATTTCAATGTTAAGCAATTGCGGGAATTCCCGTCATCAGCACCCAACGTGTTAAGAATATTGAATATCATAAAACAAATTGTGTAATTGAAACAGCTGACAAAATCCTTTAATCCCTTTTAAATATGAATACTCATAAGGTTAACATGGGGAACTGCGGAGCCCAAAAGGATTTTTGAGATAAGAATATGCCTATATGTTAATCGGGAATGTGAGCTATCATCATGCCAAATTTTAGCCCAATCCGACCAGTATTTTTCGTGTTTACTTGTCACAAACATACATACATCCATACATCCAAACATTCTCATTTATAATATTAGTAGGATTTATTGGTAAGCAAACTGTATTTTTCTGTGAAAACGGCGAGCGTTCCCACACTGGCATTTTTACGACTACACCACTGTGTTGTACGTCTTAAAACATTAATTTTTAATAGCTTCCTCCAAAGTTTTAGAGAGGTAAAATCTATGAACTGTAATAAAATCCGTGTACCAGTAATGCACAGAATCAAGTTATTTTTTATCAAAATTAAAAACTTAAAAAAAATTAAAACTTTAAAAAAATAAACGGAGTAACGCTAGAGAATTGTTTCTAAGCTTTTTTGGGTGCAGTGATTAACTATTAGGATGTTCAGATTGATTTATTTACTATAGGCCTAGTTGAACTATTTTATATTTTAAAAACAGAGTTTTCAACCAGTAAAAGGAAGATGAGTGCTGTAAAATTGAATATTCTTGTCCGAGGATAGAAAGAGCAGAGCTAGGTAGCTATAGTTTGGCCGCTTAGAAAACGACCTGCGCGCTACTGCTAAACCAATGCTGGAGGAGGTCACTTTCTAAGCGGCCGAACTATAGTGGTTATAATGCTTGCCTAGTTAGTAATTATCAATTTATCTGTAGAACTCAACAACTATCAATGAAATTACTTAAATTCATTTCCAATCAATTTAATGAGTTACTTAAAATAAAAATGTTCTATAGTGTACTTTACAACAAACAACACAGTGTTATTCTGTGAAAGATCAAAAGGAGATAAAAAATATTGATATTCAGTATTCACTCATTTTAATCTAATTGATTCACAATACACACCCAAATCATTCCAAGATAGATAACATCAGGAGGAAGAATATTTGTGAGAATGTTTTACAGTAGGAAGGTACAAAGGTATTTACAAACTATACAGTTGTCTGGTTGAGTTTGTCTGTCAAACGGAAGGCTGGATGTCTTTGAGGAGTCTCTCTACAGGAACGTTTCCGAGGGCTTGACGGAAGAAGAGCTCCTGAAGACTCTGCCGGCTGACGCTACTGACCAACAATAGTGACAACAGAAGCCTGCCAAACCTAGAAATAACATTAGCTCACTGTACAGTTGAAAATATTTGTTGATCTTTTATTTACAAAACCATAAGTGTTATTTAAAAAAAATCTGATAAAATTAATTTCTACAACGATTAGACACCAGAGTGTGTATTTTAAAGTGGAAATGAATCAAGAATTACTAAGATGAGTTGTTAGTATTGTTAATAATTATGTAGCATTGAATTCGGAAATAGTGACACAGAATTTTGTTTGGAGTCATATTTGAATAAAAAAAAAAAACATTTGTGGAGTGAGAAGTTTCTCAGAATAGCATAGACTTTAGCTAGCTTACCAGAAAAAAAATACTGTCCGAGGGATTTTAGATACAAAGGAAATGAAGGTAACTCAACATAACACTGATATAACTTACTATTTAGGAATTCACTCACCTAAATCTAGCTAATCTATCCTAAAAAAAAGTATTTTAAAATAACTTCTATGGACACTACCCTGTAATAAATCATGCGTTATCAGTTTCAACTATGTCCTCAATGTCAAATAAAAATATTTTACTATGTATTTTCGATTTTCAAACATTCGTCACAAAAACATGCAAAAGTCATGCTAAATCTTCAACATTTCCTTTGTGACCATTGTGGAACAACATGGTTTAGACCTACCTAGCCTTGTGCTGGACACTGCAGTATTCATGCAGCATCACATGGGTCTGGTCTTGCAGCAGCTCTATGTGGTAAGGTTCCCTCAAACCCCTCTTCTCTGAAAACAAGATGATTCAGTATAAGGTCCTGTCGAACTCTTGTTTTTAAGTAAAGAAATAGTATCACCAAGGCTTAGGTTGACTCTTTACAACACCATGCAAGTTTAACAAACAAGATGAAGCTGAAGCGATAGTAAAATATACTATGTAATGTAATAAACAAATGCAAATAAATTGTAATAAGCTTCATCACAACACTTTTCTAGTAAGAACTATACGAGGGAACCCGTTCACAAATTGCACAGTTTAATAAGGTCCAAAACTTGTTTCCGAGGAAAAATGAATCTATTGCAATACCGTACTCATTTTAAGTTTATGTTTGTTTAGAATAGTCATTAGCTGAATGGACTTAAGAAAAAAATTAAATGTAAAGGGTGAAGCCCTAAAAGAAATTATCCTTTGAATTACCATTTGCATGTGCGCTATTTAACCTTTATTATTTCACCTCAATCGGAAAAAAATTGGTTAAGTAGGACGGCTGAAAAAGCGATGTAAAAGGGAAAACGCTTACGGTACGGTAGCCCCCCAAAAAAGTTCGAGGCAGTTTATAGCACACAAAAAGTTCACAAAAATTGACACAAGTGCTACAATGGTCATTTCCCAAAATATATTGGTTTCCCATGCTATAATAGAAGACATACAGCTACAGATGTAGATGTTTATTTAATTGTGTAAACCCCTTCTAGACCAACAAAATATAATTATATTAGAATTTAGCCATGCTTACCTGCTTTGAACAAGACAAGTGCCTTAAGACAAGCATACTCTGTATGGTCCACTCTAAGGGCTGACATCTTTGTTATGATGTCCTTCAGCCTCCTTGCATCTTCCGTGAGAACATCGTGTCTCAGTGATGGAGCCCCACATTCTCGGATAAGTGAGACTAAGAAATGTTAATGGTTTCGATAAATGGAACTTGTCTTGTATACCAAATCCTTATAGAGACTAAGTTGTGCAGATTACCCGTTTTGTTTCTCTTCATGAATTTGGCCAATATCCTAAATTTTATTGGAGACTAAATGTATAAAAAACCATTTTAAGCATCTCTTAACTAGCAAGCATATTTTTTCTAAGTAATTATTAAGCCTTTACTGTATCAGGCTATAGAATCTAAATTTGAATTTTTATTCACTGTGGAAGTCATACATATAATTTCACATAGTCACTGATGATTCGAAGTATCCAATAGTCAATGGTTATAGCTTACAGGTTGTTCTAATGAGGGTATGTTTTATGTCAGTCTGAACTATGATCTCACAAGTGATTAAATCTGCTGTATGTAATTCTATAACAATACAAGGATATGATAAGATGTACTCATGTAAACAATCAAATAACAATACATCAAATGGATCAAAGTGATCACTACAAAACTTAACCTCCCATAAACCTCACTAACCCTTTTGATGCTAGAATATTTTTTTGTAGTTTTCTGAAAAATGCTAGAGTTATTTCATTATTTCGTCCGAAAGTGCTAGGCTTGCCACGGGGGCAAAGTCTAGTGTGTGAGAAAAAGAATCTGTAAAAATAAAATTTCTCTTCTCAAAAGTGCTAAGAAACAATATAACGGGCCTCAATCGTATGAGGAATCGAAAGAAACTATCACTGTTTCGAAACAACAACCGAGTTAACCGATATGTCGATTTAAATTCATACGACATATCGTCGCTTTATAGCACTTATTGGATGAAACGCAAACAACAAAACCTATATTGTTCCATAGCACTTTTTAAGAAAAAAACGCACAACGCCTATCTATACCTATATCATCGCATAGCACTGAAAGGTCTACTTGAATTTTCAACAGGCTAACCATGAAAGGTTGTTTACATCTAAGTCAAAAATACTTACTGCACTTCATAAGTAAATACCTTGTAAAGTAAATTTTACCTTCATCAATAGGCAAAAACCATTGAGCAGCACTAAGGATAAACAGGGAACTCCATGCTTCCTCCAGCAATATACTTTGGTCTCTTGTACCCAACTGGAAAATAAAATGTCAAACTTCATAAAGAGCGATAAAACATCTCATAAGGCCAAGGATGTAGGTAGAAAATCAGGGGAGTTTTTCCCTCTTATGAACAAAAATCTGATTTATAATTTGTTGGAAGATATTCTTACTTTGTTGGAAAAAATGTTTCTTTGTAGTACGAACGTACAGACTGGTAGGACAGTTACCTGTTGGAAAGATGGTATGCTGCGAGCCCAGCGTATCGCCAAATACAACAGTTTAGCCGCAGACTCATAAGTGCTCTCGGTCGACAGGCAGCTCATGTCTACTATCGGGGACCTGGTGGGCAGCACATCTACGCTGGCATCTGCAGCCAGAGATCATTAACAAAATATATAATAAATAACTGAAATTTGAGAGATGATATTGAGTTTAGATGAGGAAAGGTAAACTTTTTGCTTTGTGGCCTTGAGAGAGTCTATGTATCCTAAGAGAGGGGAGGAATGTTTTTGAATGTTTGAAACCGAACTAAGACCCCAAATAATCCATGAAAAATTAATAATTCTTTACAAAACAACATATTTCATGTGCAAAACTAAAAGTTATGTGCTAAACAATAAATTAATACTACAATAAACTTGTTGTAGAGCTGGACAAATAGACAGTGCGTTTCACTATGGATGAGGTGGCAGGGCGCATACTCTTGAGTTTAAGTCATATGCAGGTAGCTGTCCAGACCAAACCAACATGATCGAGGAGGAGCTTAAAAATTGGATAACCGTTATCACAGAGCAACAAGGGGTTCACTCTGTATTTTGTGTTAGTACCATTAGACTTCGGTACCAAAGAACCAAAACTATGTCTCAAGCTCAAGAAAATGTATTTTAGTATAAAGTTTGATAAATCTTGAGGAGATATTTGTTTTTGTTACTTTCAACATCTATATGCTTTTTCTGAAGTGCAATTTAATATTGAATATTTTTTGTTATCATCTGTATAATACTTAGTTAATGTTATTATATGTTATTTTTGTTACATTGTTGTCTTGTTATTATTTTTTGTTGCAATGCTGCTTTGTTTCATGGTCATTATGTAACTTATCTAGCTATTTTTATCTTTTCATTCTGCTCATGTGCTTAAAACACATATATATTTTGTAAATGGTGTATCCGTTGATATGAATAAATAAATAAATAATTTACCAGTCTGTTGATGTCCTGAGATATTGACCTCTTGTGAACTCGTCACCTCATCCTCTTTCTCAGGATGTTCGACTCTGTAGAAGGTCCTGAAAGTCCTGGTTGGAGTGGGCGTGGGAGGCAAAGGAAGTCCTGGATAGAAACACATTAAGGTGTCTTTAGGATAAAATAAAATAAAACGTATAAAACCAAATAGAAGCTGCCATTTATACTCTGTTCACAAAAGTTTGGTGGTTTGTGGGGAAGTTCCCCCACTACTTTTTTTGCTTAATGTTTTTATGTTTCAGCTGATTGAAGTTTTGGTGAATCTCAGCTGTTGAGTCATTGTTTTAAAGGTAGGATAGGATCAAGTGAAGGGGATAGATTTCTGCACCTAAAACTGCATAAACTTTGTGAACGGAGTAAAGAATTGGCCATTCTTAAATTTAGCTTATTTATTAACAGAATTTTACAATCAAAGTGCCATTGGGTTGGGTTAAAAGTGCTCTGCTGCTCTCAATATTATATAGACTGTATTATCTTGATTGAGTCTCTTTGTTTTCATGCGATTCGACATTGAAAACTTTAAAAGGTTGCCATTTTGAAATGCTACATAGACAAGGTTGAGTAATTTTCCAACATAGGCCACTTTTACCATAGCAGTATATGCAAATTTTGATTAAGATTAATTGACTTAAAATATATAAATTTGTATTTAATTAATCCATAATGATGGATACCTCTGATAAACAAAGTACTTTTGGAAAAAATTCCATACTCTTGATTTTTTTCTTTATTCAACTCATAAATCCATTACCTGGAGTTTAGCTGTTTACTAACTGGATACCGGTACCCTACCCTGTATAGAGGTTTGAAGATAAATTGAATAAAGAAAGTAAGACAACACATCAAAGTTGCTGTTATGATAAGTGAGTCTACAACTTTTAACACAAATTTCTGCTATAAAATGTTTATCTCAGTTTTCAATGAGTCCTATAAGTACGAGATAAGACATTTTAAATTACTGGAGTAACCTTTAGAACAAAAAAGTCCTGAGGTTCTTTGCCTCCTCTGGGCAAAATAAAGATGTTGTTTCGCCACTCAAACACAGCATTCTAGCATCTCATTGTTACCTCCTTTGATTTTCCTTGTGACATACCTGGGTACGAGGAGTGTATGTAGCTGTGCGGACTGAAGGTAAGTCCTAGTGGCTGGTACAACAGAGGGTAGCTCGATATAATCCTTCGTTCTGTAGAGAGACAGCTGTTATGATGAGACCTCGGTGCTCTCTCGTGCTGAACAGCTGCAAGGTGTGGGGTTTTAATTTTTAAATACCTTGTGGAAATGGTTGTTCAACTAAATAGAACCACAAAACACACAACAAAATACCAATTGTCCCGCAAACATCATGTCTACATGTTAATTTTGTGTTTTCAGGTTTTTTTTTAGTTTTTGTCTTACACAAAATATTTATGGTCACAATGTAGCTATAATATAGCTTGTTTGCTACAGCGTTAGGCTTTGATCTTACTCTAAAGATAATTGTGAGTTCAAAATAGGTAAATATAAATGATTTATTTTACCACTTAAATTTGTTGTGTGTTAAAAATGCCACCTATTACTAGTGAAAAATTAACAGTGTTAAGCTAAGAGCACATGTTAAAAAAATGTATTACCATTTTTTTTCTAGGACGCTAGGCACGAGACCACGATATTTTTGTTTTTCACATTACTTCAGGCTTAGACCTAGGGGTTGCGGCATTATAACTCAGACAAAATACATTGGTGATTTGGTGGGATTTGAACTCGGGACTTCAGGGATCTGAAGTCCCGCGCGCTCTAACCACTATACCAACTCGCTCCCCGAAAAAAATCTATAAGGTACCATAGGGCCTAGTTTCATACTAAATACTAAAGCTTTATAAAAATTAAAAAATATGCCACAGCAAAACCTACTGAATGTTTTATCCTGTGAGGCCAATATATTTTGATTTGATGGTCGACGTTTCAAATATTGTTGGGTTATTCTTTTAATCACGTCATGATGTGCCATTAACACTCCTAGAAAAATAACACTGTCTTGTCTACCCCTGAAGAGAACTCAAAACCCCAAAGTGTCTCGATTGTTTGATGACATGAATACTTGATTGTGTTTTGAGGGGGGGGTGAGATCGGTCAGCTGGGGCAAACACCGAGTTGACACCTTGTTTTGACAGCCCCTCCCCCCCCTGGCGTCACCCACAGCACCGCGACAATGTGGCAATGTAAACAACGCGACGGCAGTGATAATAATACTACTCCACAGTCTCTTGTTTTGATTCCTCTGCGATAAGTAATAGTGTTGGCAACGAACAGTTAATAAAACGTTACAATACCAGTACCTCAAACTATCTTGTTCCAACAACCATCGTGAAAAAAATATTTTTTTTATTAATTAAAATTTTAGATTAAAATTGCAGGACTCTTTCCGTAAGATGACAGACCAATTATATGAGCTCCTTTTCCCATATAGTGAAAGTGGCTTTAACATGAACAAAACGTATGAACTAGAAACAATTATAAGGCTCCTAAAAAACCTTTTGGGCAACCTATAGCCAACCACGTTTTTGAAGGTAGTTAGACAATCTCATATTCATTATTATGCTTATCCTCCCTTAATTTAACTAAGATTTTCACTCTATCATCGCAGTTAGTTGAAGTTACATAAAACCTCAAGAGTAACCGTCGATTTCGACGGGTTTCCCCTAGTTTAAAGCTATATTGAATTAAAACACTGTGAATAACAGTGGGTACATTGGATTAATCATAATCATTTGGATTAATAATTTGAACAATAACTCGAAAAGGAGTCAGTTTATTTCTGAAATTTGTTTACATAGGTAACATGGATATATGTATACACCAGTTCAAAACCGTCAACTAAACTTTAAAACCACACGATAAATCTGCGCATATCTTTGAACACAAAACTATATCTTAATTTAAACATTAATGTGTCAAAGTCAAGCATAATTTCTGCGACATAATTAAACTGGGTTAGGTATACGAAATGTTCCAGAATTTTCTGTCTTTCTCGGCAATTTCCCCGTATTCTTATTCAATGCTTAAAATCATTTGTACTTTATTTTTTGTCAATTTGTACTCTTTATGGATGATAGAAACCACCTATCCCATCTCAATCTCAGTTTAATGGAGCATCCTTCATAAGATTTCCACGTCTTCCGGGATTTTTTTCTCGCGTTCTTGATTACTTTTTTCAAATCCTCAATAGTTTTAACGTCTTTTTAGTTTTTCAAGTATTCTCGGTAGTTTTTCCCATACTCGTTAATGTTGACGTGTTATTGTAATTTCGACCTTCGAGTTTTCTAGGTGGTTCCCAAGTATCCTCGGCCATTTTCACAGTTTTCGATTATTTACCCAGTTTATCTTACAATGTTCTTTGTCCATCCCTTAATCAATTTCCACAGTTTATATCATAATTCCCCTAGCCCAGAGTGGTTACTCACCGTCTTTCTTCATGTTGACCTGGAGACATTTGTTGAAGCGGCAAGCTTGGCATTGGTTCCTCCTGGAGACGTCGACGACACAGCGACCATCCTCCTTGCACACGTAGTCCAGGTTCCTGGGGAACACGTACAAGTCACAAGCAGATCGAAGAAATTTGCATTTAGTAATTGTTGTCAATATTATAGCTAGTTGAATTGTATTCCCATTAACAAAATCTGAAGCTAGTTTACGGTGTGTGTGTTCATGCCTGGGAACTTTTAAGTGCATTGATAAATAAACGTTTCTCTCAAACTTTCATCGTAATATTATCTGATGATAGAGAGTGGGTCATGTTTCGGTTTCAATCATTGACTATATATACCTGTAGGTATATATAGTCAATGGTTTCAATACAACTTCCGTCTTCAAGGTGAGAACGGAAAACCCTATACGAGCAAACTTCAAAAACTAGTTATTTTTCCTTTTGTACTTTTGTCGTACAATAGTAGATAAAACATTGTAATATCTGCCACAAAATAAGCAAGATATATTTATTAATGTATTCTACATCAACGCACTTAGGCTTAAACGTTATCTACTTGAAACCCGCATGAAAAACGATAGAACTGGAGGTCTACTTGCAGTATCATAACGATGTAATCTAAACAATACAAGGGGACCGAGCCTTGCTCGGTTTTGGTTAATTGTCTTTGATCGTTAAAATAATAGGTATCGTAAACAGTAATTTTATAATTTACGAAAAACATTTTTATTACAAACCATAGACATTTATTCACTGAAATAATAACAATTATGTAATGTAAAAGTAAAACTTTAGCATGAGCATACTTTCTAAAATACTCTCGTATGATGTATTCTAATTCAATAATATTCAATAATTCAGCTGAATAAACCTGTCCAAATTATTTGAACTATAAAAAGAATGCATACAAATGGTAAAATATACCCTTAAATAAGAGTAAAACATTGAGTGGAAGCCAGTGCACTCAAACGGCACCAGCACAAAACGCCCACTCGTCAACATGATTTGCTCTTTTTCCCCTATAATTTTTTCTAATTATAATTCCTTAATAACTTTTCTTTTTTTCTCGAGTAATCTTCAGTGTAATCTTTGCTCAATACTGGAGTTTATCACTTTGTACTGTATACTAGTATACTGTGGATGTCTTGTTATAAATACGTGTTAAACGTCATTTGTTTACTTTTTACTTGTTATTTTTCAACCAACATATTAGTTATTTGGCAACCCATAGGCCTAAAATGTTAAATTTTTAAATGAGTTGAGTAGCGAAATACGAATTTTCCTGAGATAGTGAGTGTCGTCAATCACGTTTTTAAGGTTATAAGCCCGCAATTCTTAAATTTAATCAAAATCCTTCCGCTGAATTTCGAGATGTATATTTCAGACAGACAAACAGACTTTGCTCGTATTGGAGTATAGGATAGACTATATAGATAACTCTACCTGCGGATGCTTCTTTTGAAGAACCCTCTACAGCCGTCACAGGAGGCGACTCCGTAATGCTTCCCAGAGGCCTTGTCTCCACACACCCGACATAGCGTCTCTTTGGAGTCCATCTGTTTAACAGTTTTAAAGGTTATTATTAAGTTTGCCCATGGATTAAATATGCTTCCAACACAACATCTAATTAAAGTCAATCTTTAACTGTTATAAAGGTTATTTGTAAGTTTGTCCATAGTTTAAACATACTTCCATATAAATTTGTACCAACGTATACATTTATAAATTGTTATTGACGTAGCATCTCGTTAGAGTCAATCACTTTAAAACCTTTTACTTGAAATGGAGACCATACGAAGGTAGTACTTACAGTACTTATAGTACGTAACTTACGTTACTTATAGTAGTTATAAAGACTATTAATAATTAATTATGTCCATGAATTGATGACAACTTTATGCAGCTTCATGAACCTCGTGTATCGGCTAAAATCAGTGAAAGGGGGTGTTTCGGTTTGGTTTATACAGAAGGTTTGTTTTGTTGTTTACCAATTGTTTCCTGTTATTTAAACTACTTAAAAAATAACCCATCTTCATATAATGATAGATAATTTAAACTATTGCTTATACTTAAAAATTATAATCAAAGAATAAAGCAGAGATTGCTAATACTCGTATTAAAACATGGTAAAATACAACATGGCCTTAAAAAGTTTACTTACAATAACTTTAATTTAATACATATTCTCGACATTAGGAGTTACTATTTCCAAATAAACAGAAAAAAATTAAAATACATGTAGTTTGAATCGTAATTTTATTTGGTATAGACTAGGCCCGTTTTCAAAAAAAGACAATGCAAGAAGCATTTCATGTAACAATTGGGGAAACAATGTTTTTAGGGTATTTTGACCCTGCTGAGTACGAATCTGCCTGTTGCCAACGCGAAATTTGAACTGGAAGTGCGGTATCCAAGATGGCGGCCAAAACTCTGTTTGCCCCATATCTCCCTTGTTAGTTGGCCTAAATTAATGGTCTAAACGTGTATATAGGGGGTTTTCAGATGCCAAGCACATTAAAACACTCAAAATTTACTTAAATTAAGTTTTGAGGGCATATCTTCCAAAATGGCGCCCAAGATGGCCGCCAAAAACTCTAATTTCCGCATATCTCCCTTGTTTTTTGGCTTAAAATAATTATTTAGACATCTGCATAGGGGTTTTCTTGGATGCCAAACACATTGCAACACCCAAAATTTACTTACATTAAGTTATGGGGGCATATATTCCAAGATGGCATGCGAGATGGCCGCCAAACACTCTTATTTCCGTTTATACAGGGTGTATATAAGGTCCCGCACGGGCTTAAGTTTTTCTAAACGACAACAGATAAATCAATAAGATTTGGTACATCAACACCACACCTAAAAATCTACTTTTTCAAGAAACTATGAATTTTCTGTCATATCAGGAGGACGTCCCGCTAGGAGTCAGAAGGAAATCTTAAATAGGAGCATAGGTCAATATGCACATCAAGTAAAGGTATTTTTTAGTAGAATACAATGCCGTAAACCGCACTTCAAAAGGTTGATCCTGCGCAAAATGACAGTTGTTCAAAGATTTGCTATTAAAGATGCTATTATACGCTTACTCCTCAGGGCGTACAGCCCTAGGAATCGGAACAAAATTGTTAACGTAAGCATAGGTCGATATGCACATCAAATTAAAGGTCTTCACTAGTAGATTACAATGCCGTAAATTCAAGCTCAAAAGAATGTCTGGGTAAAAAAATGGCAGTAGTTCAAAGATTCCAAATGGCAGATTCAAGAAATCTTTGAACGGCTGCCATTTTGCGTAGGATCAACCTTTTGAAGTGCAATTTGTGGCATTGTATTCTACTAAAAAGACCTTTCATTTGATGTGCATATTGACCTATGCTTCCTTTTAAGATTTTCATCCGACTCCTTGTGGGACGTCCCCATAATATGACAGAAAATTGACAGTTTCTTGAAAAAGTAGATTTTTAGGTGTGGTGTTGATGTACCAAATCTTATTGATTTACCTGTTAGTTGTCGTTTAGAAAATATTAAGCCCGTGCGGGACTTTATATACACCCTGTAAAATTAATTATTTAAACGTCTACAAAGGTATTTTCTCGCATGTTAATTACATTGCAACACTCATTATTTACTTCCTTTGAGTTTAGATTACATATGTTTCCAATATGGCAATAAAAACTTTATTGTGCTTACGTGAGCTACGTGCGTATTATTGTATTTAGTGTTTAAACCAGCCAGTTACTATTAGTGACTGAATATTTGCTACTATTTTTGAAATACCAATTGAAATTTTGCAATGTTAAAGTAGAAGGCAAATTGTTTAATGTACTCTGGTGGCAACGTAGATAACGCGTAGTATAACAGAACCTATAATTAAGTAATTGTAGAATTAATTGTGTATGATGTTGACGAATTTATCACTTATTTAAGGTGTCCAGTTATGTAAATAGATATTTATTGTAAAATATGACGATGCCATACGTATGTTTTATATTTTATGGTAATAAATAATTTGATTTCATTTCATGTTATTTGAACATTTAGTTCAACAGAACCTGTAAATATTATTAACAATCACGGTAAACGCAATACGTTATTTTCACATTTAATAAACGAGAAAACATGGCGAATAGCGTTTACCGTGATTATTTAACGGATGGTTCAAATACTCCCTATTGCTAATTTTGAATAAACTAAGGATTTAATACAAATTTTACTTACCGCAAATAATTATTTCTTATAAATTTACAAATGTTTACTTTCTCTTCACAAACAAACTTTTATAGGCGGTTGGAAAACAAAAGATGTTACCTTATTAACATTTATTTTGTACACATGTATACACCTGTTTACTTTCTCTTCATAAACTAACTTTTATAGACGGTTGGCCAACATAGGTTATTAAAAAGAATAAGAGTTGTTTGCTGATTAATTTTGATCAGTGCAGCCAACACAATGCTGCCATAAAAAAAAAACCTTTAAAAAATCTATTTCATCCATTGAGACCCATGGTAAACAAACCTCCATTGATGGGTGGTACCACAAGATCAATACAATATAACAGTACATTATCATTGTAAATATTATAACCGAATTGTTTATTATTATTTATTAATGTGTTATAAAGAACCATTGTTTAATATAATTTACATGCACCACCTCTTGCGGATTCGAGGTATGGTCTAAAAAAGAATTTTTACAGGTTCTGTTGGACTAAACGTTCAAATTTCATTAAATCAAATAAAGTTATTTATTGCTGTAAAAGATACAGAACATACGTATGGCATCGTCATATTTTACAATAAATATCTATTTACGTAACTGGACACCCTAAATAAGTGATAAATTCGTCAACATCATACACAATTAATTCTACAATTACTTAATTATAGGTTCTGTTATACTACGCGTTATCTACGGTGCCACCAGAGTACATTAAACAATTCGCCTTCTACTTTAACATTGCAAAATTTCAATTGGTATTTCAAAAATAGTAGTAAATATTCAGCCACTAATATATATCTGACTGGTTTTAAACACTAAATACAATAATATGCACGAAGCTCACGTAAGCACAATAAAGTTTTTATTGCCATCTTAGAAACATATGTAATCTAAACTCAAAGGAAGTAAATAATGAGTCTTGCAATGTGATTAACATGCGAGAAAATACCTTTGTAGACGTTTAATTAATTAATTTAAACAAACAAACAAGCGATATATATATATACGGAAATAAGAGTGTTTGGCGGCCATCTCGGGTGCCATCTTGGAATATATGCCCCCATAACTTAATGTAAGTAAATTTTGGGTGTTGCAATGTGTTTGGCATCCGAGAAAACCCCTATGCAGATGTCTAAATAATTATTTTAAGCCAAAAAACAAGGGAGATATGCGGAAATTAGTGTTTTTGGCGGCCATCTTGGGCGCCATTTTGGAAGATATGCCCTCAAAACTTAATTTAAGTAAATTTTGAGTGTTTTAATGTGCTTGGCATCTGAAAACCCCCTATATACACGTTTAAACCATTAATTTAGGCCAACTAACAAGGGAGATATGGGGCAAACAGATTTTTGGCCGCCATCTTGGATACCGCACTTCCGGTTCAAATTTCGCGTTGGCAACAGGCAGATTCGTACTCAGCAGGGTCGAAATACCCTAAAAACGTTGTTTCCCCAATTGTTACATGAAATGCTTCTTGCACCTTATAGAGAGGGATTTTTCAATTATGGGCCTGCTCTAGTATTGTCTGCAGGTTAATTAAACATATTATTTCGGTGTTGTTATTTATTAATTCTTGGCAATATATAATACAACTAAATAAAACAATAACACTAAATATTATGTAATTCAATAAAAAAGATTCAAAAATAAAATCTCTTACTTTGGGAAACAATTGTACTAATTTTTGTGTAGAGCCGTACACAAGACATACGACTTATTAATTAGTAGTGGCGGAATAAGCCCATTGGCGAAGAACTTACAGCTTTTGATAAACAAAACTCAAAACCTTACGTTGTAATAACTAGCTAAACTTCAAGTATGTATGTTCAATAATTATAATGTGAGAGGAGAGTTAAATCATGTAACTCTCTTAACAAACACAATTTAAATAATCTTAATTACATTAATCACACCAACACCAACAATGTGAAACAAATATTTTGGTTAACAATACTTAGTTTTTTAAAAGCCTTGGTATAATTTTAAACCCACTGAGTGTCACGCCCCGCAGAAACCGCCGCGCCGCGCCGCACTGACCACAGCGGCAAACTCAGCGCTGTACTCATATTGCGTCGTGCGCCGTCATATATAGTTCGGTCCTATTGTACTTTAAAAACAACGACGCCTTAATACTTGAAATTTTATTTAAATGGCAAGAAATCTGACCAAATTTAAATTATTCCAACTAGCTCAAAATATCTAGTTAGGGACCGCGGTATATTATCTGATGGTCAGATGCATTTATTGTAGTGGTCACTTGGGTAACAATAATTTTGCGATAAAGTAAATTTTTCAATCTCTCTTTCAATTATTTGTGTGCAGCTTGATTTTCATTTTACATGGCATCTCGGCATTTTTTAGTCTTTATTGTCTGAACGCGTCGATAAAATCTCGAAACCTTTCCAATTATTGGTTTTAGCTTTCGAGATCGACACATCTTTAATACTTTAATAACTTCCTTTGGGAAATGGCGACCATACTAATGTAGGAATTTTAAGAATGAATATTGAGATGAGTGTAGGATGAGTGGCGCGATCTTGTATGTAGTCTTGTTAGTTACTGACCGACATGTTCCTCAGACCATTCAAAGCTCAGACACAGCTGATAATTAATAGTCCATACAGCCAATGGTAACTAAGAGGCCTACTTATTAGTGGAATTCGAACCACATTTTTGCCTTGTAATTAACGAATTGGTCTAATTGCCAGGACATTATTACGGATAATTGTAGTACTCACTAGTGCGGACGTTAATCCACACCAGGGAGTATCACATCCACAGTGCATGCCTATAAATATCCACAATTCGTGACCTCATAGTAGTTGGATTACAGGACGACGCCACCGTCCAGTCATCATTTTTGAGCAGTCATCACTGCTCAACATCGCTAGACACACAACATACACAGTACATACAGCGCAACATACACTCCATGTCTAATTTCCCTGTCAGTTTTAACCACGCAAAGTCAATAAACCGCTAACGACTATTGAATCATTCACTTCGTAATTCGTGTTTACACGATTGCTACCCCACAGGTGATTAGCGCCAGGGGGGGAAGGGGGGGTGTTGTGGTCGCAAGCTGACCACCGTCCACCTGTCAGGTCACATGTCCATTATTGAGGGCACCTGAAGTCAACCCCTCCATGTAAGCGGCCTCTATTATTCAGTAAATACCGCGTAACGACTGACAAATACGCGGGAAACTAGCGTTGTTTACCGCGGGAAGTGTCATTTTACGCTTGAGTTTATAGTGTTTACATTGATGGGTGGGTGGATGTTGTATTTTTTTAAGGTCAGAGGCCTCTTTAACCATCCATTTGCTTTTTCACGTTAATATCAGGTCTGTTCGAATAAAATATCGAATAGAGCAAGGGGTGAGCCGGTTCAGTACAAAGAAACAAAAACATGAGTGTAGCCTCATTTTAACCGAATCTCCAATTATCCGAATCACTTATTTCAACAATTTTAAAAACGTAAAGCTACAGTAATAAGTTTTACAAAATATCAAAGAATTGTTATTAAACACATTTAGCCAATTTTGGACTTTGATGGAACACTATTGACTTAATAACATGTATAGAACACTTGTACTATGAGCATTGTAAACTGTAAAAATGTTCTGTTTTAAGTTATTATTATTAATTAAAAGTTCACTTAGTACCGAAAATGAGGACTTTTCTTTAAAATTCCCGGAATTCCGGTAAAACTCCGATTATCCGAATGGGGTCTGGTCCCTATTGATTCGGATAATCGGAGTTCTACTGTACTATTTATTTGGTTTCGCTATCGTAACCATTCTAATGATATCATTGTATTTATGGACAAATAATTCTACAAAATGTTGAATCAGAATTTGTTGTGTTTTCTGTGAGTGGTAACTACTACTATAGTATGGTTAGGATCCCAAAACGGGAAAAAATAATTCTGGTAATATAAAAACTGTCAGAAAAAATTAAGGGAAGTAACTGAAAGTGTTTAATTTGCATATTTAGTATAAATAATAATTTAGCATACGCCAATATAGGAAAACAAATTTCGTTGATTTAATTTGTTATTTACTACCGAAAACAGTATTCGAAGTAGGGTTTTGTAACAATTGGTAAGCTGAAAAACTATTACTACTGTATTTGATTAGTATGAAATATTTTTCACGCGATTGCAGTGAATCAAGCTGTAAAATTTACTTGGAAATCCAGGTTCATGACAAAAATACATATACACTGACAAATTCCTTTCATAAGGATGGGAAAGGAATACTCCTCTTGACCCATCGGTAAGATTGGGGCCTCAAGTTTCAAGTAATCAAAATAAAAATCAAGCTAATTAAACACCTGGTAGTACCAGGAAATGTCTCGTTTCCCGACAGGTGTATAAAGTCATGTCGCAGCCTAGTGGTCACCTCGATGATTTGAACCCTATAATCACTGCAGTTAGTACGTAATTAAATGCCATTTGGAAGCTAACCGCACCCCATGTGCGAGGGCAGAGGGTGCATAGGGGGACACGCGCTCACTCACACACAGATACATTGCACGTTCTCCCTCTTACAGTATCAATTTGTATGAAGGTACATTTTTAAAGTTGTAGCTCTGGATTTTTCACATTACTTCAGGCTAATCCTAAGCCAAGCAATATGATTTAGATAAAATTTATTGTTGATTGGCAGGATTTGAACCAAGGAACTCGGGGACCGAATTCCCACGCTCTTCTACTAGTCATTTTCGCTCGTCTTCATTTTCTATAAATATCAGGCAGTTTTTGAGAATGCATTAATATGAAACTCTTATGCAAATTATGTATTTTCTTGTAAAACGAAAACGCAAAAAAAACTTTAATCTGCTCCTGGGTAGGAAATCTATCTAGTTTGTTTGAAACAGTAAAGTATGTAGAGAGAAAAAAACTGACTACTTGATCCAATAGTGTGGCCAGCAGTTCTTTTTTAGTTAACTGAAGCAAATATTGTTATGACTATGACCTACACAAAAATATTGGATTAATTCATTTTTTTGTAACAAATATTTTTGCAGAATACTCCATTCAATTTAAAGAACAAACCTATTTTCAAACTACTTAAACACCCAAAAACTAGCAACAAGTTAGGGCTGAACAATAATGCTTAGTCATTCAACCACAATTAATTTAAAACTAAATATTCTAACTTTAGTCCATGAAATTTTAACAAATTATTTTCATTATTTAAAACAGAAAACACTTTTCTTTTCAATATTTTAATTGCTCGAATGAGACTACGTCCTGAGATGCCTGTGGATTTATTTAATTTAAACCTAATTTGCAAATTTAATGTGTCATTGCATTGTCTTAGCAACACTATTTCAACAGAGAAAAATAAATATTTAACCATGGAAACCAAAAATTCTGTTTCTCAATAACTTTCGCACTGTAAACACGTAACTTACTTTGTGGCAGTATGTTGAGGAACCCGTTCGCTGTAAACGTAAGGGAAGGGTTGCCTTTACCCGATGAGGTTGCTCTGGAAGCGCTTGACTGTTGTGACGTTCTTGACCCCTCGGTGGAGGACGCGGAGGAGGCTCAAGAAACACCTCAGCCAAGACTTCGAGAGTTGACCGAACCGGGCTCAACCTATACGCTCAAGTTTGTTCGATTTAAATTGTCAGCGTCTTACGCTAAGCGGTATTATCATACCACTTTTATTGAGTAGATTTGGGCTATGGGTTGTGGACCCCCTTCCGCCAAGTGACGTACGAGCTCTTGGCCAAACGGCCCTTTTCAGGGCCAACACATTTTTAACTCCGCTACACCGGTCCCCAGCCCGGGACCTCTCCTGACAGTAAAATTAACATTTTTCTAATAGTTACCTGGAGTTTAAAAGAAAAGAAATTGTTATTTTTACTATTGGGGAGGGAGGAGGAGGGAAAATGTGGATATGGTCATTAAACTAGAAGTGCAATTAAAATTACAAAATGGAAGAAATAAATATTACAAGATGCCAAGTAAAGAATGCCATTTGAAGCAGATTAAAGTTTTGACAAACAGATTATGCAGGAAATCGGGTATTACTTGAGTAATTTTAACCATTTTTACCGCCATTTAAAAAAATAACTAAATTTTGTAAACATACTGGTGACAATGGTGCATGCAGGCTACAGTATGCAACTTCAGCAGCAATATTGTTACAGATTATTGATTTTTTTCATTGTTTTGCTTGGTAGATTACAAGCAGAATGGACAAGATATCGTATCTATTTTCGCTTGTGGTTTCACTCTTTTATTTTAATATTTCAATTGCAATATGAACAATTCAATTTGTATTTATGAATAGAACATACTCGTAAATAAATGTTATTATTCTAAAATGTTTCTTATATTTTTGTATCGTTTTTTTCCGGAATTTACACAAATATTAGATAAGGGAAGAAGGTCAATGGCGTTGCATGCATTTTAAATGGGAAAACTCCACTATTTTATGTACCTATTACAAAAAAACTATTAGTCATATTAGTTTAAAATTTTTACCACTTGTTTTGGACATTATGAGGAAGGTACAGAAGCTCAGTCAAGAAAAAAAATCAAAATTGAAATTTTTTAAAATATATATATTTTTTAATACATTTAGCGTTTCCATGGTAACGATATCTATTTTATATTTTATACGTGGTCACTGGAAATTACATTATTTTGGTTCAGTAGATAGTTATAGACCATGTTAGTATGGTGAAAAAATTTTAAGTCTGTAAGTTATTCCAAACCAGAGATATAGGTACATATATTCATAAAAACACAGGTTGCGGAAAATTCGAGTTTGAAGAAAAAACTAATTTTTAAAATTCCCCAGCACCATATTGGCAGGCTTCTTCCTCTTCAATATCTTCTTTCTTCCTCGTCATTTGCCTTCTTTTAACCCTAGCTTCCTTGGTATGTCTAGTGCAGCTTTTTCAGCTTTTCGGAGGCGTGTTTCATCAATTTTTCGCAAAGCACGACGAGTGTTTTTGCCCACGTTTACACCAAGATTTTCTAAAACTCTTGTTTTAGCCATGGCACCATCATTGAAAGTTAGCACTGCATCCAATGCTCCACATTTTAATGTAGTAAAGCCTACAAATACTCTTTTTGGGATTTTTGACAAAATGAGATGGTTTAGGCTCTCATTTGGGTTCTGGGTTTTGCCGTGTAAACATTTACCTAGCAACTGATCTGATGACAAGTCAGTAAATATATGTTTGATGCTCATCAAAACTTCCTTTGGAAGTGAATTTGTGTGAGAATATCTCTCACCATTTGCTTTGGCTTTCTGGTATTTACACCAGGAGTCGGGCCCTACAGGGCAGAACTTGTGGTTGGGTGCTCGGTCAGTCGACATCTTATGATGGTAAATTACCCATACAGCTTTTTTCATAGCTTTCAGATTGTTTGTATTCCTTCTAATGGCCAAGCCATAGTAGGATTGGAGTAGGTCAATTTGAGATTTTGTTAACCTACCCTTTCCGGAAAGGCCTTTCCCGTCTTTCAACTTTACGTCGCGTGATTTATTTTTCAAACGGCGCAGGCGGGATCCCATCCGTTTTTGGATGTGACCCACACACTCTAGTTTTTCAACTTCAATTTTATTTTCATATGGCATAGCCTTTTTGACTGTATCAAAAGCAGATGAATCGCCATCACCTAAGAACCTGGTATAGAGTACATTTCTTTTTGATTCGGACCGTTTGAAAATGTTCAATATCCCAACCGGTTCCATCCCCCCACAACTATCCTCATAGTTTTTCACACATCCATCATGGATTCCTTTTTGTTCCGGGTTTTTAATGCACCCCTGGCAGTACTTTGACATTATTTCTAAGTCCAAAACCTTTCCAGTATCAAAAGATGTCGCACTTACAATACCATTGAGGGACGTGTGGCCGCGCTTCTGCCACGTCCCATCAAACGCAGCTGCAATTTGGTTATCGCCTGAATTCTCCACAACTGCCTCAATAGCAGCTTTTGACATGTACTCTTCTACAGCAGGCTCCAGTGCATCAACCAATGCTTTAATATGTGTTACAAACTTTAGGGGAGGAGGCGGCAGGTTCATGTGTGCACAAAAGGCTCGAGACCCAGCTATGCCTACGCCAACGTCCCGCATGGCATAAACAAAGCGAACGTTTGTCTCGTAAATGCGAGAAT